CCTTTCTGGTTGACTAAAGCCGCACCTCATTATAAGCCGCATGGTTCAAAGCGTGGGGAAAAAGTAGCGGCTTATAGTCCGGAAAATACGGTATATTCTGTAGGGCTGTAGCGAATCCTCAATGACGTCGACGGCTCGATTCTAAAAATTTGTCGACGTCAGATCTGGTAGTCGACGCACCACGCCCACTTGTTGCAATCCCAGGAGTTTGTAAATAGAGGAGGAATCTGCCTGTTTTTCCTCTAGCTCGCCCTCTTCTCCGCCTTCACTAACATCTCCACCAAATACCGAAGACCCGGAACAATGTCCGTCCGCTACTAGATTCCTTTCCTGTTTTGCCCGCCTTCGTCTCCCAGCAACAGACAACAACTTCCGGGGTCAGATGCGCTGCTCCGTCTCTACCGCAGATGTAGGAAATCACCGGGAGCGTTTCTCCCTTCATAAAGGAGCGTCTTTCAGACATGGGAGAGCTGTTTTGGTGGTAGCAGTCTCTCCTCCGTGCTGGTCTGTGTGCTGGGTGTTTTTGGTTTATTTAAACTTGGTAACTTGAACTTAACGTCGGTAAAGCTACTGTTAGCATTTTCGCTAACAGCTTCTTGCGTTTGGATAAGCTGTTACGTTTTGGTTTAGAGTTCATCATTTTTGTGGTGCAGATCTCCCTTTTATTACATTTCGAGTGTTGTGGGTTTTCGGTTTAGTTTAAAATATCACCGTGAGTTTGGTTTAACCACCCAGTGTAGAGTTTGGACCTTTGGAGATCCTTATTTTGGTCCAGAACCCTGTAATCTTTGCCCAGTGGGACATCCCTACTTATTTATACTTTTGTTTTAATTCCCCACAGGCAGAATTAGTTTTATTATTCCTAACCTGTGGATGGAAAGATTTGTGTTTTTTGTAGTTGTAAAGAACCCTGATCATCATTGTAACTTTTAAATCCCGCTATTGTCCCTTCCTTTTTGCACACTAGCCAAACTCCCCAGGAAGGGTCGTAACACCACTCGCCTCACGCACATAAGTGACCAAAACAAAGCAGCATGGAGACACCGTCTCCAACCACCTCTCAGGCAGCAGCCTGCACTCCCAAGTTCTACACTTCACCAGAACATAACCAACCGCAACACAATAAAAGCAGTGTTATACAAAATGGTAGGTCTGTAGTGTTTATTCTCTTACAGTAACAATTTATCTTTTTTTTTTGAGGAATTAGAGATTTTTTGGTTTTTATTAACTGTGCAATAGAAAAATAATCATTAGATTAATTGTCTAAATAGTCATTAGAATAGTCGACTATTCGATAAAATAATCATCAGAATAATCGTTTTAAAAATAATCGTTTACCCCCAGCCCTAATATTCTGTATTGTTGTGTCAGTGATACATCAATCTTGTGATGGTTTTGTAATTGATTACAATTACACTTTCTTGGTTTTAGTGAGGTTTGTGCACATCATAGCCATAAATGCTTTGGTTCTAATTATTGACAAAGAAGTTTATTTCTGTGTTTCAGTTTTCAGCCAAGAATTTCATTTGGGTGCTTCCCTAAATTATACAGATGTAAGTTAAGGCACCGCATGTGGTTGTTAGAGGATGTTTATGTTAACCATGTACAGGGTAGATTTATCATGGAGGACTCCTGTTGGTTACCACTAATGATGGAGTTACTGCCACCTAGGCGTCATGGCTGAGGCGATGCTGAAACTGTGACCTGAAATGAGAGCCGACAGGTTCTTCTGAGCCTTCTCTCTCACGCTTGTCTTCATGTTGCACAGTGGCGGACGTGAGGGCTGTTTCCTATGTAACGTGATGAAGGTGCTATTCCTCCGAAGGTTATTTAACCTCTCTCCACAGATGCCTCTGACACAGTTCTAAGTGCATGAGACTGCCTCAAGGTCATGCATTCGCTTCTAAAACTCCTTTCTTTCCAGCTCAAGAGCAGATTGAAGAAAGAACTCTTTCCTCTTAATAAATCAAAGAACTCTATTTTTAATTAAGCTAATCAAACAAAGTGTTAGTCAATAATATGTTGACCGATCTGTGAAATGACAATGTTATGATTAAATGTTTGAACCAAACATTTATCGCTGTTTTTGCCGTGTTTTGCGATGGGCCTATCGCACGTCCTGTTATCGCGATGACGATAATTTTTCGATATATTGTGCAGCCCTAATTAATATGCTTTAATAAGTAATATGACTTTAATCTAGTGCACTAGACATGCTGACTACACGTAATGTAAACACACAACACATTGCTGTCACTGATCCAATCAGAACCTTCCTAGTCTGAAGCGTGGCATAGTCTCTATGGTGTTTATAAATCTGCCAACTTTGATTCGACCAGAAATCAAAACATTCAGATTAATAAAACCAGTCCCCACGCCATCTTAAGTTCAGTTCTCAAGATCTCACTGGAGTTCACCGCATGCTAAGCGAAGTATCGGACCGGCCATCTGGACTTCCTTTTTAAGCTGAGAACCAATAAGCTGGATAAAATCTGTTGCATTTTACCAACCAAGCAACAGTTCCTTTCAGAATAAAAGCTGAACTCACTGACCCAAGGGGGGTCTATCTGACGCTGTGAACCACCTGTCGCTTTTTACCTGGAGACAATCCAAAGACTAGTTTGTCGTACTGCTGACGCTGTTTCACCGGCTCCGGTACCGAAAGGGGAATCAGAGGACCTGGCATTCTGGATCTGTACTGAGGTCTCATCAAGGGTATGTGTGGAGCGACAAAATGGCGTCTCATGTGTTTATGAAACTCTGATCATAGCTTAAGAGCAAAACATTACAACATCATTCAGACTTGCTTCTCCGGATACGAGAGTTCTGATGACAACATCACTCACTCATACACCATCCATCTCACGTCTCATTACACCAGATCCATCCATCATTTAGAGTTAGTCTTGTTTAAAATTGTTTGAATTGTTAAGAAATAAATCATCTTAAACGTTTTAAAGGACTCACTCTTCTCTTCTCTTGTCTCTCAGTTAATACAAGTGTTGCATAATCCCTGCAATAAAAAGTTCCAATCTTCTGGTTGATTTCATATTCACTATGGAGTCTTACGTCTCACGGGTCGTTAATTAGATGTAAATTAACTTCTTTTACACCTACTTTTAAAACACGTTTCATTCAGATGTAACTTTTGTATGGTTCCTTCCTTCTTGGGCTTTGACTTTGTCTAGTCTATACTTCTATAACTGGTTGTAGACTTTTGCCCAGCCCGCTTGCTCATTGGCTAGTCTCAGTGTCAGAAAGCATTCATACATTGGGATCCACACTCAGTGTCTTTGGTCTGGGTCGTTTGTCAACTACTTTTTAAAGATGTTCTCTGTCTCTTTTCTAAAAGGTTTGTGGTGTGAAACAGACATTATTTACAGAACAAGAGTCCACATTTGCAAGGGTTTGATTTTAATGTTGCTGGGAAATAACTTGTGGTTTGAAAATTGCTGGGGACAACTATTATTAATAATTCATATATAAGTGTTCGCCCATTTAATGTTTCATTACGATATGCACGTGTGTTAATTCAATTAAATTCAAAGATACTTTATTAATCCCAGTTTCAGTACACACAATTCAGAGATCAGACATACATGGGCAAGACACATGACAAGAATTGGTGACTGTGGTCTTTCGCAACCCTGAGTCGCGCTACCTTAATAGAGATAAGAGGGTTATATGAGGATCGGTTCAGGTGGAGGGAAAAAAAGGCACTTCAGAGTTAGGGGCTCGACACACGGGAGGCGAAAAATGACCGCGTTCAGCGAAATTTGTCACCGTCGCTTTTATTACCTGACACACGCGAGGCGATCCGCGGCAGCGGCCAGCGGCAAAGCGGTCTATGTGTTCTGTTCCATGGCGAAATCGAAACTTCCGTTGTTTTGTTTGTCTGTGTCAGGTTGGAGGGAATTAAGGTTATTTAAACGGTTCAGAGTTAATAAAGCGGTAGATATGACGTTTCACAAGGTGCTGCTAGAGTTATGTGAAATTTTACTTCTGATTTTACTATATAAAACATAATAATAATCAACTTCTCCTTCATGTTTGCTCGGAGATGTACGGAGCATCCTGTCCGCTCATTGGTCAGTGAATGAAACCTCCGTTGATTGGTCCTCGTCCGAGCGACAGCGATGAAAAGTTGAAAATGTTTCAACTTTCTGGGATTGCATCGCTGGGTCGCCTGTGCACGACACGTGCACGAGCGCAAAATTTCACACGCATGTTTTTCACGTTTCGCTTAGGAGGGAGACCCGCGATTATCGCTTCGTTGCGTATGTCTCATTGAAAATGAATGGAGGAGAGGCGATGTCGCCTCCTGTGTGTCGAGCCCATTACCCTCCACCGGGAGGGCAGCTTTGCTCTGCAAAAAACCTCTAAATAAACCTCAACTTCAAAATCTGAGATTTTTTCACTAAATAAAAGTAAAATTTGGGGTTCAGTCTCGCAAACCATTGATTAAGGGAGCAGAGCGGCTCGTTAACACGGTCATTTTACTGGGAAAGTATTGAAATTTCCCACCAGTGCCAGTTCCTACTCAGTGCTTTCATTTTCGGTCCCCAGCCCTAGTGAATCTGTTGACCTCTCACACAAAAGGATGTAAAGTTCAACTTTGCTTTCTGACAAACCTTCAAACTGTGTTAGAGTGACAAAGGTGATGCTTGTACTGCAGCCAGCATCATATTAAACCTCCTTCCAGCTGCTTGTGGCTTTACAGCTCTACTAAAAAAAGGAAACAAAACCTATTCAAAGATGATTTGGATAGATGCAAAAGCAACAATAATGCTCCTCCATAAACGGTGATTGTGCAACAGTGGAGTTTATGATGGAATGAAACTTGAGTTTCCACTACTTGTTTTAGCTGGACGGACATTGATTTGTCTGCCGCTGGACCGGGGTCAAATCAAACAAGGTTTGCCGACTGTCACTGTCAGCAGCTTTGTGCATCAGCTCTGAGCCTCATCTTGTGCCCTTGTTGTGTTTCTGCTGGTGATCAGATACCTGTCGTCATGTGGGATCCTGATGACGCGTGTGCCCCCCATGCTGGGTGCAGCCATGCCAGGGCGCGCTGTCGTACTTCCTACGCGCAACTTCTTCAACCTCACCGACTCTTTCTCCAAAAGGAAGGAGTACTCAGAGAGACGCATCATTGGGTATGTCCAGCTTTCAGTTGTTATGAATGTGATGTCTGGGAGGACTTAGCCATCATCAGGTGTAATCTGATTACACGCGGACAGCTCTGAGTACACGTAAAGGGGTTTTATTAACACTCGGACTCCCAGAGGCACAGTGGTTAGAGCTGTTGCCTTGCAGCACGAAGGTCCTGGGTTCGCTTCTCATCCTGGGGTCTTTCTGCATGGAGTTTGCATGTTCTCCCTGTGCATGCGTGGGTTCTCTCTGGGTTCCTCTCACAGTCCAAAAACATGACTGTTAGGTTGATTGGTCTGTCTAAATTGTCCTTAGACGTGTATGTGTGTGTGTGTGTGCGTGCGCATGATTGTTTGTCCTGTGTGTCTCTGTGTTGCTGTGTGATGGACTGGCACTCTGTCCAAGGTGTACCCCGCCTGATTGCCTATAGACCGCCGGAGATAGGCACCAGCCCCCCCCCCCCCCCCGCGACCCTATGTGGATGGATGGGTTGTGAGAGCTAAAGGTAGAAAATAACCACATTTTGGCATTCAGACTAGGGCCGGCCGATATTATCGGCCGATATAGGGGTCATTAACACTATCGGCTATCGGCCAAAAAGACGGCCGATATGGCCGATATTGCGCTACCTATCCAGCAGATGGCGCCAGCTTTATAAACTCATGTTGTGTGGCTCCACTCCTCGGGGGGTGGAGCCACCGTCACAGCACACATGCAGCGGAGCAGCAGAAGCAATTCAGTCAATCAGAGACGACGGTGATGAGGAAGTAGGAGGTAAGTCATCAGTTTTAAGCATATTTGTTGTGTCAGTGGTAAGTTGAACGGTAAAATAAGCAATGACAAAAGTATGTTTCCCCTCAACATGCTTCCTAAGTTTATTGTGTGCCTCGTGGCCTCGGATTGAAAAGTTAAACTGAAAAAATAAAATAAAACTGCCGCAGCATTACGCTCTATGCAGAGCTCACGCTGCTTCCCCTTTTTCTGCTGGCCTTTTTCTGGTAGACATTCTGGAATATTCTCAGACAATTCCCTCCGCTCTTCAGCAGTCTTTTCAAACTCACGCGGTTCACCCGCGGCTCGCGAAAAAAATATTGCAGACGCCGAAACGATCGCTGCACGGCACGGGCTGGAGCGCCGAAGCCCTGCAGAATAGGATAAAAAGGGTGACGAATGAAGGCGGCCCCCGTTTCGCGGCGCTTCGGTGGCACACGACCATTGTCGCAGCTGAGGATGGGCGAGGGGGGGTTGGCAACAAAGCAGTGAAACACTTTGCAGGGAGTCCCCCCTCCTCTCCCTAGCTGGGAGAGGAGGGGGGGCGGTAATACGAGAAAAGAAACATTCCTCTCTACAATAGAATAAATCTATTGTATTTTTCAGCCTTATATTTTACATAAGGCTTATACATTGCCACATACTAGTCATTTAACGTATCTTATTTTTATTTTCCTAATACTGTCGGCTTTGGAAAGGATCAAAACACAAAAGTATTTTAATGCCAAAAATCAGGTAGCTAGGACGGTGAAACCAGCAGAGTATGACTGAAACTGAACCGTATGCACTGAGGAGTGAGAGATGAGAGGACTAGTTATGAGGAGGAGCTGTGAGTGGGAGCAGAGGACAGCAGGGGAACATAGGAGGAACTATAAATGAAAATATTTTTAAAGAAGAAAGAATCCTAAAAGGGAAAGAAGAATAACTAGAAAAAAAACCTGACAACAAACGGAGTAGAAAATTCAGTGGAAGGAAAAAAAAAAGACTTGAATACTAAATGAGAAAACCTTAACAGCTGGGGAACCAAACAAAAACAGAGCCATTGGTTTTGAGCCACAATGTCTGATATCATTTATTTACATGATCATTTTAAAACTTTTAAGTATAAAAATGCCACATTTAATGTATTTTACTTTGTCTTGGTATCAACAGATATATAACTGTACTTTTATGCTGATTAATTTATTACAGATGGAAAAAGAGGGTCGTAGTAAGGTGTGGGCCTACTTCACTAAAGATCCATCTGGTGATGTCATCTGCAGCATCTGCTCATCTTCAGTAGTAGTTTGTGTGTTCTGTTGTTTTTGAGATTGCTAAATAAATCTTATTTACATTACTTGGAAACCCTAGTGAGTTATTGAGACAGTTCTTTGGTGTGTAATATAGAAATAAGTTAGCATCAAAAAGGCAGAGAATGAAGGGTTTAATCTTAAAAACATTTGTATTTATTTTTTTGTGAGGGAGATTTATCGGCCATTATGTCGGCCTTTGTTAAAAGTTTTATATCGTATCGGTCCCAAAAAAAGCATATCGGTCGGGCCCTATTTCAGACATCATAATGCAGCAGTATGGAGGAGAACAAGCACGCATTTGGACTGCTATTCAAGCAACACGTTTAATTCAACATTTCCTTGGTTTTTCCTTCTTAAAATCACGTTTAACACAAGTAAGACTGTTTTTTTTGACTGAACAGTGGTGAGAAGATGTTTGTGTCATTGGCTTGCTGTTGATAACATCTGGAAATGACCATAAACAGGCACAGGTTTACTGAGGAAACAGACTCCATTTATATTTGTATGACGCACACGCACGCACGCACGCGCGCACACACACACACACACACACACACACACACAAACACACACAAAAGTTTAAAAAAACATCTGCTCACAATAAATAGGGACTATGGTGGCTGTTGTCTGGTTTTATAGTGCTGTAAAGGTTTACTGCTGTCCTGACGACGTCTTTGCTCCCCTCTAGCTTTACCATACATTCTTCTGCAGCAGGGCACTGGATTGTGACCAGTTTGTTTGCAAATGCAACCCAATTTCTCAGTAGTGCACCTGGAAAAATGTTTGAGGTTGCACCAGTGGGGCTGTTCGTTCGAGGTAACATAAGCAGTAACACTGTGGTGGTCTAAGCCAATCAGAGGTGGTAAAGGGCTGGACAACAGCCAGCCCTGTGCGTGCTTATGTTTGTGTGTTAGGCTACGCTAGTTAGGTAAACAGAGTGGGCGTAGCATGGACGAGCTTTCTTGTCAAGTTATGGCCCGAGCTGCCAGTAACCCACTGCCAGAGCTGTGACACAGAACCATCAGCCGATACGGCACCAGACAATGAGCTGCATACGAGAGAGCCCCAGAGCTGCTGATAATAAACAGTAAATGTGTTCATTTCAAATGAGAAGCTGGAAAAGCACAATAAACATATAAAACATGTCACATGCTGTGATAAGTGTCCCCTCTCCCACCGCTGCCTCTCAGGGGCGGGTAGCAGGAAATATCATCAGCCAAGCCCCAAATAATTCTTCAGAATTTAATATTTAATAATAATAATAATAATAATACACGACGTGCAGCAGTGATTACACACTTAACTCCAACGCAGTGGCGCGTCTGGTCTTCAATCAGCCAAAAAGAGCACACGTCACCCTTCTGTTCATTGAGCTCCACTGGCTACCGCTAGCAGCGCGCATCAAATTCAAATTGCTAACACTAGCATAAAAAGTCAGAGATGGTACGGCTCCCATCTACCTGAATCCTCTTGCAAAGGCTTACGTCTCGGCCCGGCCGCTCCGGTCATCACAGGATTGTCGGCTAGCAGTGCCTACACCACGCTCAGGACAATCCAGACTCTTCTCTTGCATCGTTCCACAAATGTGGAATGACCTACCAAGCACTACCAGAACAGGGGCTTCCTTTTCAATTTTCAAGAAACTCCTGAAGACCCTGCTCTTCAGAGAGCATCTTCTAAACTAGCACCCTCCCTGCACCCGTCCCCCCTCTCTACTGTCCACTCCTTGTTCCCTCCTCTCCATGACTGATGTCAAGTTGTTGTTATTGTTGTTGTTGTTAGCCTCAAGGGCAACATGCCGATTATCACTTGTAAGTCGCTTTGGACAAAAGCGTCTGCTAAATACATAAACATAAACATTACGTCTGTGTGTAAACTGGTATTCCTGATCAACAGACTCGGGAATTATTTAAGCGGATAAATAAATAAAGCAGATGAAAGCACTCTGTGTTTTTGTCTGAAGCCTCACTGCTGCATTCACCGTATGTAATATTCTCATTGAAAAGAAAAAACAAATGGAAAGATCTAGAAGACCAAACTACAGGGGTCAGCCATCTGAGGGACAAGTGGCTACCATAGGTGATGGTCCATAAGACACTTCTACTTAGAATAATATTATATTACGATCTTTAATTCAGATTTCTTATTTTTCATTTATCTTTGACTTTAAGCTTCAGCTCTTAAAAGCACTTAAAACACTTTCTTTAGTTGTACAATTCAGCCTCATATGAGGAACTTAGTTTATTAGATGGTTAATCAATCGTTTACAAGTCAATGTTGCCTGCAAGGATCGTGAAAGGTGGGCTAGTAAAACTGGAACCAGTGATAACAGTTAAGCCTAGTTTATGCTTCTGCATCAGCTCCACGAGGGAGAGACACGCACTGACAGATGTGTTACTCTCGGACTTCCCCGTCTCCCGGGGAGTGTTGCAAAGCAGTTCCCCGCCAGGACAACAGAGGGCGTAGCGCTGTCCTGTGGTATCCTGTCGTCCGGTCCAAGATGGTGTGTTTATATTGTGTCTTTTGTATTTCAGAGACTTTTTACACAGATAAATGTGTCCCTCATCCTCCTCCACCTTCACGCACTCACCACCTCTAAACCCACGTTTCCCATCATTTCCGTCCACGAATAAAACGCTTGCTGCGTCTCTTTTTACTCAAGTTACACGTGAATAAAACATTCATATTTTTAGTTCTTCCATGAGGTATTCTTCAAGCCGCCATGTCTGCTGCTAGATATCTTCGTCTCTCTTTATGTTTTTGAGGACGCAGTGGTGGTGCTGTTGACAACAGCGGCGTCCTGACCAATCACAAGCTTGCGTCCTCCGTCTAGTTGGATGGATGTTTAGAAAAGTGGGCTCTGGAATAATGGCATTGCAGACGTCCGTCCCGACGCTGGGCTTTAGTCCAGAGTCCTGCAGCGCTGTGTTCAGGCACCGGTTCAGAGGGAAGGACACGTGTGTGGCTTGCCTCCAAACATTTGGAGGGACGGTGACTCCAAGGACGGGGCAGATCTGAGGAACATTCAGATCCGGAATGTTTGATCCTTTCAGGCACATTATTCACCCTGAATATTAAGTCCTGTGCACGTGTCTGAGTGACGCAGTTAATGTCCTCCAGTGTTCCACAGAGAGGTCATAATCACTAAATCTGCAGGTATAAATAGATTCAAGAGGTGGCAGCTGTTTTCTCTCAGCTGGAGGTCAGCAGTCTCCATCTGACCCTCACTCGGCATGTCCTACCTCTGCTGCCCAAGTGTTTTTGTGGAGCCTCAACATGATTGGTTTTATTGGTGTTCAGTGTGTGTTGTCCCACTCTCCTCTGAACTCATTCAGAGATCTGAGTCATGAGTCTTGCTCTGTGACAGTTCTGTTTAGTGTTGCGTCACATGCGACCTGGTCTCTGACCTTCAGTGCCTCCCCTCCCTGTTCTGCAGGTATTCCATGCAGGAGATCTATGACGTGGTAGCTGGTGTGGAAAACTACCGCGACTTTGTTCCCTGGTGCAAGAAATCTGACGTAGTGTTCAGGCGTTCTGGTTTCTGTAAGGCCAAGCTAACGGTGGGCTTTCCCCCTGTGGTGGAGAACTACACATCCCTCATCACGACAGTACGACCTCACCTGGTCAAGGTAACCCACCGCTTCCATCTCACTGAGGCCAAGGGAAACTCTTCTGAATCAATGTTAATAAATGATTTCAGAGTTTTGTTTGTTTCTATAATGTGAAAAAGGTGTTTAAAAGCAAACAAATAGATAAAGTTCCACAATCACTATAAGAAGAAAAGTACTTGTCCCAGCGTCTGTTCACAGGATAAACAAACTGTGTTTAGTTCTCCATGTGCAAATGTTGACACTTCATTAGACCATGAAGGCTCAAACACTAAATCAGGGGTAGATCGTTTAGTTAGGCCTTAGGATAATAACAGCGCCACTTTGAATTCTGTTAACATAAATCTCAGATGATGATATTCTGTCTGCCTCTAATAAACTTCAAAAATCACAGAAAAGTAAAGCAGACGGGCTGAAACACTAAAAAGAGCAATGGTGCAGCAGGTGGTGACACCACTGAAGGAGGAGCTGGCCACCTGACTGGTTGTAGTGGAGAACCACCATGCTAATGCTAATGCTAGTGCTAGTCTGGAACCAGTGATTGTTCAGCTCCTTTGTTTTGACCAAAGCACTGACTGTCACTAAAACAATAGCCCTGCCTCCATTAAAGGACTTCTGGGAAACCTCTGGGAGGGGAAAACTGATTGGGACTCTGTCCTCTCAGCTGTTGTGTGTCTGTCAGGACTTTGCTCAGACTTCAGCATATCACGACTGTTTCTGCGTTAAAAATGTTATTCTGCCAAAGTACACCATGCTTTAATCCATTTCAGGAGTAGCTGTGCGATGTGAAATGTGGTGTTTAAAGGGACACTTTGCCACTTTTTCATATTTTTCAATCGTTTTCTTGAGCCAGTGTGTGCAAAAATAACCCTTTACAACAGGGGCGTCAAACTCAAATTCACACTGGGCTGGAATGAAAATCTGGGACGAAGTCGCGGGCCGAACTTCATATATTTTTTTAAAATGACGGCAAATTTGCACATTTTCTTTATCAACATATATGCAATTTTGAATCTTTTAATTTGGAAACAAACTTATTTTTGCAGTAACACTGAATGTGGAATAACTAAATTACACACGATCAAGTCCAGTTTAAATAAAAGGCATCAGTGGTATTCATTACTTGTGGACTATTCAGCATTTTTAAAATCTATTCAGGATTTATGTTTTCTTGTTGTTTATTAATTTTTCTTTTTTTTTATTCTCCTTTTTTCTCCTGTAATAAGTGTCATCGCTGCTGTGACGTCTAGCTTTCCCCACTGAGGAACAATAAAGGGATTTTCTATTCTATTCATCTATCTGCAGCCTTTCCACTTCCTGTTTTACTGTAGGTTAAATCTTTTCTCACGTGCCAACAACAAAATAAAATATCATTTTATCTTAAATGAAAATGCAACATCTCACCTGTTAACTTTCATGTTTTGGAGCAGAAAAAGAGCATAAAACCAACATATTTAAAGCTCAGTTTGCTCCACTGGTTTACTGTGATGCTCACCTGTTCCAGCCAGATACCTGCATCATGGGGTTGATCTGAGCTGAGGAGGAGACTCCTGTTGTTTTGTTCATCTTCATCATAATAATGACAACATTAGATGACAACAGGTGCTCACATAGGTTTGTGCTGCTGAACATGTCTGAGCAGCTTGACCACGTTGTTGTGTGTCAGGGAGGAAAAATAACAATTACAGCAGCCACAGAGTCGTGCTGGTTTGAGCGTGTTGCTGCTCGCTGGAGTTATACCAGCTCTGTCTGGATGTTAGTTGGAAAACTTTTTCTTTCAGTCGTGAACACGTTACTGAGCGGTTAAAATCTCCGTTTCTGGGCTTCAACGTTGGCAAATAGCTGAGTGAACTCGGCGCTGAGTGAGAGAAGTGTTTAGTTTGTCCGAGACAGCAGAGCTGCAGACACCGGCAGCAGACGCTGGAAAAAACACAAAGGAGGGGGCGCTTAGGCTCAACGCTAACGCCGCAAAGCATCATGGGAGTTGTAGTCTTTGCTGTAAAATCGGCCAGCGGGTCAGATTTCATATATTTTTGATATTTATCTCACGGCCCACATAAAAATGCCCCTTGTGTCTGTCACATGTGCTTTACAGGCTAAATGAAAGGCCACCTAGCCCCTATCACCCCATGTGGCCAGAATATTCCACTTGCAACTTCAGAGTGCCGGTCCGGTATGTTGGACTTGAGCTGACGTACCTGGTGCTGCAGTCTAGTTGCAGCACATTTCCTGCATGTTAAAGGTCATGAACACAGCTGATTTGATTTTGGTGATGAATCGCTCCTGTAGAGACTAAGGAAGGCTGGGAGATGTTTCAGCTGTTGGATCAAGGCAGAAGGATTCAATTCCGGACCTGGAGGGCCGGTACACAGCTTGCTTTAGTTTTAACTTTGTTTCAACACACCTGAGTTCAATCAGCACTGCAGGTAATTAGCAGGCTTCTGCAGAGCCTGATGAGCTGCTGCACAGGTGTATCAACCACTGAATCAAGTGTGTTGGAGCAGAGAAACCACTAAAACCTGCTGGATAGCGGCCCTCCAGGACCCGGGATTAAGGTGTTAAAAAGACGAACGCACAACAAGGAGATAGATTTTGCTTTTGGTTCTACAAATGAGCACTGGGGGTGCTAAAAGCAAACCAAAGCTGCCTAGTCCCCCTTTAATGTCCAGAAGTGCTGCTTTTACAGGGTTAGGTTTCGGCCCTGTGTAGACACGCACAGACTGTAAAGTTTTAAATGGTAAAATGGTAAATGGCCTGTATTTGATATAGCACCTTCTAGAGTCCTGGAACCCCTCAAGGCGCTTTACAACACAATCAGTCATTCACCCATTCACACACACATTCACACACTGGTGGGGATGAGCTACGATGTAGCCACAGCTGCCCTGGGGTGCACTGACAGAGGTGAGGCTGCCGAGCACAGGCGCCACCGGTCCCTCCGACCACCACCAGCAGGCAATGTGGGTTAAGTGTCTTGCCCAAGGACACAACGACAGCGACAGACTGAGCGGGGCTCGAACCTGCAACCTTCCAATTACGGGGCCTGCATTTAACTCCTGAGCCACCGTCGCCGTTTTAGTAAAATTTCCCAGAAGTTCCTCAAGTGGAATGGTGCCTTATTCTCCACTGAGCCAGAATAAAGAAGCACATTTCTCAGGGCTGGAGGCGGGCTCATGAAGACCAACAACCAATAGAAACGTTTTGCTCTCAGGGGGAGCACAAAGTGAATTCACACACCGCTATTGAACGTGCCACAGCTGGGACACCACGGACAGAGTTAGGGTGGTTCTGTTTTAGCATGTAGCATTTAGCTCTGTCAACTACTGTATGTGATTTGAAAACACTTTCTAGCTTTAGTCTTATGAATAACTTTATCTATCCTGCTGCTGTGGAAAACTTAATAAACCTGTATTTTATTACATGAAAACAGGTATACTGCATAATTAACAAGGTGTGTAAAGCCTGGGGCACACAGAAGACACATGCGCTGCACCACATCACGCCTGCGCCGTCATTTTAGAATGAAGACATTATAGTTACTGAGGGTAGCTACAAGGGGAGCTACAAGGGGAGTGCAACGCCACGTCACAGAAACACCGGTCCACACGGAGGTGCTGATTGTCGGTGCCAGTTTTATTTCAAGCGCAGCTGTTTACAACATTGTGGAGTACTTTACAACAGACGTTGCAACGCAGAACGGCTCTACGGCACAAACCCAGCTGTCAAAAACTGATGAGGAGCTTATAAATGCTACTTGATTACAGTATTGATAACTTTAAAATACTACTACAGTCTTAACATATTCTAATAAATGGCGTACTTGCCCATTTTTAATGAATTAGAGTTTCAAAAAACATGACGGCAAGTCTGATCCTGTTCTCAAGTCCCACGTGATGTTGTGACTATCGTGCAATTTTCCAAGAAGCACTCAGCTGCCTAGCGAGCCCGGTGCGACCATTTCACTTCCCAAAACCGTGATGCTTCCGTGGTGCAGCACATCTGTCTTCTGTGTGCCCCAGGCTTACAGCTCCTGTTTATCGTTGGAAACAGTCAATCCACTGCCACAAAGCTGTGTCAGATGCATGAAGAGTCAGCATGCTGACCTGTACCGTTAAACAACAGCAACAATATACCAGCTCAGTGACCTAGTGGTAGAGTGTCCGCCCTGAGACTGGGAGATCAGGGTTCGATTCCTGATCGGGTCATACCAAAGACTTTGAAAAAATGGGACCCAATGCCTCCCTGCTTGACACTCAGCATTAAGGGGTTGGATTGGGGGGCGTTAAACCACCAAATGGTTCCCGAGCGCGGCTGTGTCTGCAGCTGTGTCCCCCAGGGGATGGGTCAAATGCGGAGAGCAAATTTCGCACACACATCAGTGTGTGTGACAACTAATGGGACTTTAACTTTTTTAACTTTAATTTCTCACTTCGTTTTTCTTAGTTTAATGCTGCAACATGAGGTCAATAGATCCTACCAGAAACGGTGTGTGTGGTGGTGTTTTCCAGGCTGGTTACCATCCACAGGTCTGAGAGAGCGTAAAGAGCCCTCGCACACATGGTTTATAACGCTGTTTATAAACTACGCACAGGTTGGCCTTAAAACATTACAAACTACGTAATCTGTGTAGATGAGCTGTCTTCCTGCAGAACATCAGAAAACAGGAAGCCATTGTGTTTTTGCACAACACTGATAACAAGTTACACATGATCTATAAACTCCAGAGAAACCAGTTTCTGGGATGTCCGCTGCACTGGAGTTCTGGGTGAACAGCTCGCTGTTAGCAAAGCTGGAGGCATTAAGGAACTTTATTATCATTTAAAAAGGAGCTTGTTTTCCCGACAGGCTTCACAAGGAAAACTGAGATTGCTGAGTCACAGTGTTTGTGCAACAGCGAGAAAAGAGACCCTGGGAAGGGAAACTGTTCTGCATGTCATCCCAGCTCAGCAGGAAAGTCCTACAGGGGCGGAGAATGTTTTCCTATGCTCACAGCTGACATGCTATGAGATATCCTAACGCTGAAGCCCAGCATGTTTCTGTTTACAGCCTGATGAATACCACATGATGCTAAAGGAGCACTAAAAAGTGCTGCATTAAATAAATGTTATGGCTGTTGGAACACTCCACCTGTTAGTGCAACTGTGTTTACACTCTTATCTTATTTTGTGTGTATTTATTATTCTTCTGTGTGTGATTGACACCAACGGTGCTACAGATGGAAATCCCGACATGCTCTCCTGTGGTTTCATATTACAACATTAATGTGTGTTGTCTGGTTTTTATAAATAAAACTGATGCAGCAGTTTAGGATCTGCGCACAGAGCGTGATGCTGGAGCACATGTGGGTCATAAAACATGTCTGTTGTCCTGTTGAGTAGACGTTTAAGTTTTCCCAGTGTTAAAGGGGTATTCCACCCAAAAATTAAATTTTGTCTGTTGACGAATTTCCCAGCATTTGGTAAGTGGGGAAAAAGTCATTTTAACCAGCCCAGTCATTCTCCTGACCCGGTGTCGGTACAGGGTCGACCCGGGGTCCTTCGACTGCCGATGACGTCAAAGTAGTTGATTGGCTGAACATGAAGCTTACGGAAGTGACGTTATCACGTTATGATTTTGATTGGTCAGAACAAATTTGCGGTTGTATTAGCGGTTGTAGTCCTGTAGTCCAAAATCAACACTTTTTGGAGGAAATATGTTTGAATTTCTAAATGAAATGTAAAATATAAGCAAATGATAAACGGTGACCCTCAACAGCTCTTGATGTTGATGAAATGGGGCAAATTATTATATAAGAACTTTATTGAAAGACACCAAGCAATATTTTGAGTCAAAGAATGTATTTAGATAACAACTAAGGAAATATACAGACGAACTCCACATTCATACAAACAGATATGGCTTCACATGTAAGAACTGTTCTATTGTTTGTCAGTCCGATGTTGGTTTTATGCAGTTTCACATTCTTTATAAAACAAAGATAATATGGTGTTTTACTAACAAATTACAATTATAAAGAAAACATTTAGGTGTTAACAAACAAGAATTTATTAACAAAACTGCTGATGTCTTTCCAAAACGTATGTCTGAAAGCCGAGTAGATTCGCAGTAATGTGACGTCATCGGCGGTCGAAGGACCCCGAGCCGATCCTGCACCGCAGATCCTGTACCGACACCGGGATCACTACTGAGTGATTTTTAAGGACAGTTTTACTTCCAATGCTAGTTGGATCCATTCCCTTACTGTGTTTTAATGCTAAGCTAAAGCTAAAGGGTCCAGAGAATGACTGGGCAGGTTTAAAACAGTTTTCCCACTTATTCAACTCTGGAAAATTTGTCAGCAGATAAATTTTCATTTTTGGGCATCACATCTGTGTTTTTAGCTTTTGGGATGTTGGTGTTTAGATGGATGTAAATCACGTTTCTAGCTTAATATGTTATTTTCTACATATTCTGAAACTATTCCAGTTGAGGTTGAGTCAACTTGTGACATTGCAGTGTGTCTGTTGGCCCCTCAGGCATCCTGTTCAGAAGGTAAGCTGTTCAACCACTTGGAGACGGTTTGGCGTTTCAGCCCGGGCCTGCCTGGTTACCCCCGAACCTGCACTGTGGACTTTGCTGTGAGTATTACCGGTAGTGGTCTCAGCGTGGCATACCTGTAGTGCTGCGTTTCATGCTGCCACGCACAGCTCGGCTGCCAACTTTAACTCGTCTCTGTCCTTCCCTCCCTCCTCAGATCTCTTTTGAGTTTCGCTCCCTCATTCACTCCCAGCTCGCCCACGTTTTCTTTGACGAGGTAGTGAAGAAGATGGTGTCGGCATTTGAACGTCGTGCCTCCAAGATCCACGGAGCAGAGACACCCATCCCTCGTGAGCTCATGTTCCACGAGGTTCACCACACGTAGCAACAGTCGCCTGACAGCGTGAACACAGACACACAAACACAACGCCAAAGAGACAGAAGACACTTCCTGTGCTCGAAGTGAAAACTGCAGTGCCTTTCCTACGACAATGTAATTAGTTTATAGAGCCAGTGTTGATCTGGCAGCTGATTGTCACCTTGGTGCTAAACTCCTGAAAAGTCTAGTGTCAGAGTTTGATCTGGCCCTGAACCCAGCTGTGTGACATCACATTAGGGACGTCCCCTCTCCCTGTCAGCCAGTTACAGACACGACTGAAAACCGAGACGAATCGGTGCTCCACCAGCACTGTGTCACTCACTGCTAGATTATTTGCACAGTTCTGACATTTGACATTAGATCGTCAAAGAAGATGCCTTCGTATCTGATAAAAGGCAAGTGAAAGTCCTGCTGGATTCGGTGTGTCAGTATTTTATATGTTTTTAAAATGCTGAATGGTTTTCTACAGATTTTTTAAAATACCCTTTAAGGGTTTTTTGACACTTTTCAGCAAACTCCTGCTAATTCCAGCGCGTCGGGATTTGATCCCCTTCCTTACAAGTCATTGGAATAGGTCATAATGCACTGAGAGAATTATTACTGGGCATTTCTGAGCTTTTCATCAACAGGTAGCAGTTTTTATTTTGGTCACTATGAAACATTTTCTAATCTCTGGCTTTATGTATAAAACAGAAAAGGGTTAGAGAATTATATTTTAAAAGTCTAAATCAAATAAGAAATTTTAAAGAACATATAAGCTAACCATTAGCATAGTAGCGATCTAACATGACTAAAGTAATCGGGGTGGGCTGGGGTGTTTATAATGTAAAAAGGAGATGATATAAAACCAGAAGCACTGATAATCAGTGACCCTTCATCTGAAGCATCCCAAACATCAGGTCCACGTGGCGTTAAGGTTCAACTGGAACCTGGATGCTTATCTGGGTCATCTTGTACTCCAAAGGGCACAAAAATAAAGTATTAAGCCCCCCTCGACCCCCAGACACACCATCTGAACGGTTGTTACTTGATGTTCAAGTGGAGGCAGTTTGTAACGCTCTGTACTCCAAAGCTCATGATTATCAGTGTTGGATCCTGGAGCTGTTAGATCATGCACCATGAGGTGTGTGTGTGTGTGTGTGTGTGTGTGTGTGTGTGAGTGAGTCTTGTTCTGTTAGGTGTTATGTATCTAATGTCTAAAGGTTCAGCCAAGCAAGCAGCCCCCACCCCAGTCCATGTGTTGGTGTCAGGGTCCAAACCAGCAGCTGGTCAGACACCACGGGCTGACATTTGTTAGACTCCAGAGGGCGGATGCTTTAAACGTCTGCTTCCAAGTCTTTTAGCTTAACTAAGCTTCAGATGTGCTTCGTCAGTCTCGGTGGAGCTTAGATGAATTCAGTCACAGCAAGACGACAGGTTTCCTGTATCTACAACCTCCCCTTGGATGCTGGGATTCTTCCCAACAGAAATATGACCGTCACCGACTGACCCGAGTTTTAGCATCCGTTTGATAAATGTGGGCCCAGACCTCCCATCACCGTGATCATGTTTCCATGACAACTTGAGAAACGGTCACAACTTTACCTGTTGGACCTGCTCTTTGCCTCCAGGCAGTGAATTTATCCAGTTTTAAAGGAACATTACTCATTTTATTTATTTTTTAGTTTAAATGTAATCTTGCATTAGAAACTGCTAGATGACACCTATGTTGTTAAACACAGGTGGTTTCTGCCTTGTTTGTATTTCACATATGCTGCAGTTTTCTGTCCCGTCTCCTTTATCTGCTTTATAGAGACTGATTGTAAATGTTAACTCAGGCGGCTTGGTGTGTATATATTAGTTTTGCTATTACTTTTATCTGTACTCTGTAGATGACTTGTTTCATGTCTGCTTTCGAGTTTGTGGAAAGAATTTGGGATATAATTGTCTGCTGACTGATGTCATGTGCCAGCTGCATGCTGTATAAACTATTTTTTTTCTAAACAATGGTGTTTTTCTTCTCACAGTGCTTGTTTAACCACCTGTAGTCATTCTGCTCCCTCAACTTTTAATAAGGACATTAATGAATCCAGATAAAGGATGTGAATTAAAATCACATCTGCCTATCAGATGTAACCAGATCACCACAGCTTAAAGGGACTTTTGAATTTTTATGCTCGCGATTGCCCCCTCAGGTCAAAAGTTTCAGCTTCAATTGTAGGCTCGTGCACGAGGCGCGCATGCTGTACGTGCACACTCCTTAATGAAAATAACACCTGAGACAGTCCTGTGTGTGTGTGTCCCAGAGGACAGAACACGCATTTAATTAAATTATTTGGTTCTGTACCTTTCTCTTCAGCACAGCCGACAAAGGTTTATGATGGGTCAGTCCTCCTGCATGCTCAGATCATTCCCTTCCCTTGCTTCCAAAATTGTTTCAAAATGAAAGTTGAACCCACATCTTATCTGAATTCAATGCCGTTCGGCGAGTCTCAAATAAAAATGTGGGCATTTTACTGTAAAAAAAATACCATTAATGTAAAAAAGAAACTAAAACTATGTTCATATCCAGAATCAAACCCAGGTCTCCTGCATGGGAGTCACATTTTTCAAGGTGAGCTACACTCTAGTAACAGTCAAAGGATCTATTTTGTTGCTAATTTGCAGGAAATATCTAGAAGAAAGTTCTACAGAAAGTAGCTAAGGGTCCTCAGAAATGTAGCTAGCTTTGTCATTAGGAACAGCGACAAAGTGGCACTGCCTCCCTCTCTGCTGCTAAAGCTACAGATAGCAAATGCTACGGGCTATGCCTGAGCGTGAACGCGCATGAAGCAGCCTGTTCAACCCGAGCATCTCTCTTTTTCTGTGATTTTACAGAAAAACAGGCAGTCACAGTAAAAATGCCGGGCTCATTCTACAGGACCAGGGCATTGCAGGAGAATGTATGAAGAAGAAATTTATTTCTATGCATGTTTTGGCTGTCAAACTTCCATAATGCCCCTTTAAAGAAGTTCTCTAAACTGAGGCTCCAACAGGTAAATGGCCTACTCATGCCACACAGGACCAAAACTCTCAGTCTAACAAAAGCTGTTTATTCAAATTACCAATGACAATTATATTTATAAAAACAAAACAGAAATGATCACTACAACACAGACATGGGTGCTAAAAGCCTTCTCTGGTCCAATAAACGACTGTTTCACTGTATTTCAGCCTGGGAGTTGCTGTGGAAGTGAGCATGTGGGACACTTCTGCACCAACTGAACTGTGGCTTGCTTTGTTAGCATGATCAGATGTTGCATACACACCAAAAACAGGCATGTGTTCAAATGAACACAGGTGGGAAATTTCAAGGCCCCCCCCCCCCCCCCCCCAGGCTGAAACAAACTGGTGTTATCTATTCAGATGAATCCTGTTAGCGTTTCCCTCAGTATTTTACACGATGAGTGATGTCGGCGTGGAGTATTGAGGACTCTGGTGTACCATCTGGGCTCAGCTCCATCTTTTGGGCCGTCAACCATTTGAAGCTTTAACATAATCATGGTCGGTTTCCCTGGAGGCAGCTCTGCTCCACCTCCAGCAATCTGATAACTCAGTCTGTACAATGTCAGGAGGGCTGGCTTAGAAACCCATACCACCTCCCATTCCTCCCATACCACCCATTCCACCCATGCCTCCAGGCATCTCCTTGTCCTCCTTGGGTATTTCCGTGACAACGGCCTCTGCAGTTGAGAGCAGAGATGCAACTCCCGCAGCATCCAAAAGCGCTGTTCTCACCACCTGTAGGAAGGAGAAAGAGGTCAGCTCTTCTGCTGAACACCGCCACCTGCTGCCATGGGGAGAGATGACCGTAATTTCTGTTGCGTACCTTGGTAGGGTCGATGATGCCTTTCTCTACCATGTTGACAAACTCTCCTTGCATGGCATCATAGCCTATTTCTGGTGGTCCCTGCAAGATCTTCTCCACCACCAGAGAACCCTCCACTCCAGCATTTTTGGCGATGGTCAAGGCAGGAATACGAAGCGACCGTCTGATGATGTCCACACCTGAACGGAAGACACAAACTTAGGACCGTAGCAGTTCCATGAACACACGAAGAGCCAACTGCACTCTACTCACCGATCTTCTGGTCACTATTGGCAGTTTTGAGGGCATCAAGTGCAGGAATACAGCGCAGCAGAGCACAGCCTCCACCGAGCACGATGCCCTCCTCCACTGCAGCCCGCGTGGCGTTCAGAGCGTCGGTCACACGGTCCTTCTTCTCATTCACCTCTACGTCACTTGTTCCTCCCACCTAAAGAGCAACAAAGGTGTCAGTTTTGTTGTTCCTGCAGAAAAAACATCTGTTAGCAGCAGCAAGTCAAACCTTCAGCACAGCCACACCATCCGATAGCTTCGCCAGCCTCTCATTGAGCTTCTCCTTTTCATAGTCACTGGTGGTGTGCTCCAGCTGCTCAGCAATCTCTGCTGCGCGTTTCTCTATGTCAGCAGGGTTGCCTCCACCCTTCAGTAGCAGGGTATCATCTTTGGTGATCTGCACCTCACCGACTTTGCCAAAGTCATGAGCCTGGATGTCCTCAAGAGCCAGACCCAGAGCTTCATCACCAAACACCTGCAAAAGGGAGGAGAAAATCAATAACATACAGCGAGGATCGAACTCCAGCCTTAAAAATAACGCTGAATCAGAGAGTTGGACTAACAGTGCCCCCGGTGGCGATGGCCATATCCTTCAGCTGATTCTTCCTGTTGTCACCGAAGCCTGGAGCTTTAACAGCGACCACCTGAAGCCCAACCTTTAACCTGAAAGGCACACCAATGATAAGTAACCATCTGTTTAAATCCTTACGCCATGACGAGGTCCAACACTTCACCAGGTTCTGCTGGGATCATGTAACAAACAAGACGCACCTGTTAAGAACCAGGGTGCTCAGGGCTTCTCCGTCCACATCCTCAGCAACAATCACCAGAGGTTTACGATGCTGGTTGGCGATCTCTAACGCTGGCACAATGCTCTGGACACTGGAGATCTTCTTTTCACTAAGCAACAGGTAAGCATCCTGGAACTCACACTTCTGGCCTGAGCAGAGAGAGAACACACATGAGATCAGTTAAACATCAAAAACCACCCCTACCACGAAGACTGATTTGCCTTACCTTTTGCGGTGTTGATGAAGTAAGGCGAGATGTAACCACGGTCAAACTTCATACCCTCGATGATCTCCAGCTCGTCCTGCAGAGTCTTCCCGTCCTAATTTGAGACACGTGAAACATTACCCATGGCCTGTATGCGTTTTAAACCTGATGACCAGCCATCAAAGGGAGTCAATGACCAACCTTTACTGTGATGACTCCTTTGCGACCAACTTTCTTCATGGCGTTGGATATAATGTTACCGATCTCTACGTCTCCATTGGCAGAGATCGTAGCAACCTGAAATGAGATTTCACATTTAACCATCAGGTTTACTTTCCAGACACTCAGGTGAGCATGAACAATTAAGCCCAACCTCATCATACCTGTGCTATCTCCTCTGGAGTCGTAACAGGCTTGGACAGATTCTTCAGCTCGTTGATGACAGCTTCCACAGCCATCATGACCCCACGGCGGATCTCAACAGGGTTTGCACCTTTGCTGATGTTATCAAAGCCTTCCTTAGCAATGGCGCGAGCCAGCACCGTAGCTGTGGTTGTGCCATCGCCAGCCTCTTCATTGGTGTTGTTAGCCACATCCTGCACAAGCTTGGCTCCAATGTTCTTGTACTTGTCCTTCAGGTCAATACTTTTGGCCACCGTCACTCCATCCTTGGTGACCTTGGGACTTCCCCAGCTCTGCTCAATGATCACAGTGCGACCCTGAAATGAGAAAAGTGGAGAAAAACTTTATAACAAACACCATGGTTAAACATCTTTATACAATGTCGCTTTTGCCTAAAATATTTGTTGGCAAGAAGATAAATTACTATTCTTTTAGAGGTCTTAATATTTTTTTCTGTGAATGTGCTGTGGTCTCTAGAATGAACGCCTTGTGAGGTCTTCTGTGGAATAAAAGCTCTCAGACTTCTGTTTTAATGGTTAGCATCTACTAGCCGAGATGTGCTCTACTCTCTCCTGGCCACTAAACCAAAACAGCCTTCCCCAGCCTTTTTCTCAGTAAATGCAGAAAACTTTTGGTTTAAGACTATTTTTATGTTCAGACTGCATGCAAATCTCAGTGACTGATCATATTTCAAAAATAAAAGACAATAAAGCAATACATGTTAGAATTTTTATTTTTTTTTTTACCTTCGGACCCATTGTGACAGCCACTGCATCAGCCAGCAGGTCCACCCCCTGCAGCATGAGGGCACGGGCATCAGCCCCAAACTTCACATCTTTGGCGTAGGCTCGTGTGAGGTGAGGAGCTAGAACCCGACTCAAAGGCCTGACCTGCTTCATAATTGTGGGTAAACGAAACATCTCTTAAAAAAAGAAAAGAAAAAAAGATTAATAAAGTTGCACTTCAATAATTGACCAACTGTGATAAATGGTATGGACCAAATTATACAGAATAAATGGATAACTAAAGTATCTGGTCCTGGAATAAATACATATTTCACGTGTAACAGCTAGCCATGAGAGTTTATGTTCTTAGAAATGTAATGGCTTTAAATGCTTGCCTAATGATTTATCCACCTAACAGTTAAACATGAACACAGCTCCTAATCATTCCTGATTCTGATCACCATTTTTGTCATCCTATTTGAACTTATTCCCCATCTCCTGCTATTATTCAACACACTGTCAGATTGATGATGGAACATTTTAACTAGTCTGGTAGTTAAACTGATCACGTGACATTTATCTGTAGAACCACTCAGAAAGATTTCAAAGTTCTCTGAAAAGTTCAAAGAAAGTTCTTAGAAAATAATTTTATGTTAAACAAACGAGAACGTGTAACGAAACTTTAGAGAATTTCAAAATATATATATTTTTAAATATTTTTTGGTTGTTGCCCCCACGTGCGCTGCAGCTCGTGCCTGACAAGGTCAAAAGAAGCACGCCGCACGCGCAGAGCAGCCTCCTCATCCCTACACCTTGAAGGGGAGTATTAACTCCTGCCGCGAGTACAATCACGTGGGCCAAATCAAACTGATCCAATTCATTATGAAATAGAAGAAAACGGAATCCGTTACAGTGGAAGGGTTAGCATTAAACAACGCGGTTACGAGGATATTCCAAATGTGTGTTAAAGGCCGTAGAGCCGTTTCAACCAAAATGTCCTTGTAGTTTGGCCGGAGTGCAGCGAGCTCAGATGAACAGCTATCTCACTATGAGTTAACATTAAGACAACATATGCAGACGGAAGCAGCTGCCAATGAGACACACGTCGTGGTTTGGCCATTTAAAACAACTCTTTTCGACTTACCTGCGAGGTTAGAGCGTGTAACTTGCTAAGACTGTCAGGCAGCTTGGTGTACGGAGGAGAGGAGGAACAGCCGAACAGAAGAGCAAGAGCAGCTACAGGACTGCACATGGTCTACTACATCCGGGTTATTTACCGGGCCGCCCGGGACTCTGTATAAACATACCTGTGTAAACTAAGCGTTACATTTCGTTTAATGACATGATTCACATCAATAATCCTTCATTAAACTGATTTATTTTCAATGTATTCCTGCGTTCTGACCAACTGTGTGATTGTTTACTTGTCTTTTGTAGAAATAATTGTTATCTATGCTCGTTCCCGGTCTGACAGTTCCAGAATGTTCTCGTGCGCAATTGGAGGAAAAAACAAAGGTCAAAGTTGACATTGTGCAACATTGCGCCTGCTTAGAGAACTCAATTTCAATTAAATAAATGAGAAATCATTTGTGATTAACTTTACTCCATTCTAATCTACGCGAATAACGCGAGTGTTTATGAAAGAGAGTTTCGTAATCCGCCTTGGGTGTACCAGAACTTTCCATGAGGAGGGCTTTAGTGCGCATGCGTTTTCAGGATCTTTCCTCGTGTGTAGTGACTCCTTTTCAGACAGGTTCTGATTGCTGTGCTGCTCGTCTCCGGCTCTCTACCCATTCGCACGTGTAGAAATGGTAAGAACTAGCACGTAAAATGGTTTCATTCAAGCGGAATGCACAGGGACCTGTTAGAAAGGCAGAAATGGATGTCTGTGGGTTTTTTAGTCTAAAATCTCACTGCAAAAATGTCAGTAGCTAACGTAGAGAATGCTAACATCCACTCACAAGGTCACGTTGCCAAGCAGAGAGCAGTGAAGGAGCTTTACCTCATGTTTGAGTTAATGATACTCCTGAGATCGGAGGGAGACAGTTGCATCTGTATCAGGTTGGCTAGACAGCACAACAACGTGGTGCATTTCATTTACTCATATTTAAAAGTTAAATTCACCAACAAACCTGCGATCTTTTTTCTGCGGGGGTTGAAACCCCTCCGAGGGTAGTTTTAAAAAGGTGGCAAACTGAATTGCAGGTGAAACTGGACAAATTTAAACTCGGTGCAAAAGTTAATTTATTTCAGTAAAGGCGAAATGGGCCCAAACCAACGTATGCATGCTTCTTCACATGTCTGACATTTCTCAGTTTAAAATCCTTGTTTTTATCTCATGGTCTATGATTTTGAATTTGGGGTTTCCATCAGCTGTCATCATCACAAATATACCAAGTAAAGGCTTTTGCATGTAATGAGTCTATCTTGCATACTATTGTCATTTTTTAAGCTGAAGTACTGAAATTAATTAAAATTTGCACCATATTCTAAATTTTAGTTTTACCTGTACATGGGTGACCTTTGATTATTCTTAGCGTAACCATAACCCTTATTCATATAATTTTACAATATTTTCAGAGAAAAATAATGGTAAAACAACAAATGTAGGTATACTACACAGCCACAGTCTAAATTAAGCTGCTTTGTTAGCATTTAAAAAATATTTTATCTTTCCACTCATTATGTTTATGCTTTGATTAGGGATGTAAGAAAATAACGATACAATAACTATTGCAATAGTTTGTGGTATGATTCTGAATTTCTGTTAAAAGCAGTGCATCATATTTTTTTTATTAAGCATGTGCATACATAAAATCATTTACTGTCTTTCTTTTGTTGCGGTGCAATTCAAACTCTGACTGCTAGGTGGCAGCAGTTTTTACCACCGTCGTTCTGGTGGAACCATGAGATTTCACCATAACACAGGGTGTGTCTTGAAGCAGAGCTCAGCTGAGGCCTGAGTTTTCTAATTAAGTCCAGTCTTTAAAAATGCTAAATTCTTCTGGCTTTTAGCATAGTAATACGTTGTATCTTTTCTCTTGTATTGCGATGTATATCGTATTGCCAGATTCTTGCCGATGCACACCTCTAGTTCTAACAGACATGTTTGTAGACGCCCCATGGACTGGCGCTGCCGTAGTGGCCAGCTACCATGCTAGATAGGTCTCCATTCGCCCCTAGTACATTCATTTCTACCGAGGAAGGTGCTTACTCAACTAAAAACACATTTTATCAAGCTTTTTCACAAAACCAGATAATTGAAATATAAATAAACTAAATAAATGAAAGTAAATTAAAATATAAAGTCCCATCAGGTAGGTTAGAAAAGTCAGTAGTAATCCCACGTGATCTGTTTTCAACAGCACGCATGTTGTTGCAACAGTAGGCTGCCCAAAACGGGCGTAGTTGCCCATTCTGCATTGACTTTGGAGAGTGAGAAGACCCATCCAATTTGATGCTGCTATGCTCTCCAGCGCCCTATAGGGAGCCGAAGTCTCTTGCTTTTCCGGTGGGCTCATGGGTCACCAGAAGAACGAAAAAATGAGTGCAAGTCAACTAGGCTAAAACTACTTTCTAATCCGCTTTGCCTTACGCCCTGGATCGCACATATGTTGTGCTGCAATTTAAATGAAAAGTAATGATGGGTGTTTCGACCACGCCAGTCACGTTCTTTGAGATTCATCAGCTTGTAAAAGTCCGGAAGTAGATGGGCGTGGCTTAGGCTCCTTATAGGGTGTCTATGAATTCATGTCTATGGTTGTAACACTTTAAACAAGTCCTTATGGTGCGTTCCAGTTGTAGCATCACAGAAGGTGATAGCAAACAGTGTTGATTCTAGTGTGTAGTTAATCCTACATAATTGTCCTCGGAACACTTTCTGAGAAAAGTTTGCCGGAAATGATGCAATGAACTCAGAATTCCAAGCTTTGAGCTCGTAGGTTTCAGAGGGCCCTGAGATCCCTAACTGTCCTGAAAAGGTTACAGTACTTCACCAGCGTGGTGATATTTTCATTCTTACAAGTCTGACGAAAAACAAATAATGGTTTGCAAAATTTGCAGAGAACCGATAAAAACCAAGTCTGGTAACGCAACCAATTTTTTTAATCATAAAGTAATGACAAAAATGGCCAAAGCTGCACTTAAAATGTATTTTCTACATTTTTCATAGAATTTTCAGTAATTATTGATATTGATCAGTTCGATTTTTTTTCTATATTGACCAGCCCTACATGGTTATATAATTATTTTGGTTAAGTGCTGAACAACACGGCAACATTTTCTCTCAAGTTGGAAGCTGGAATGCAAAATGAGCCCGTTACGTCATTTTCTGCCCCAGAAATTCCTCGTTCCGAGGACAACTGGAACTCAGCATTACTCAGGACTCACCAAACTAGCAGCACAAGATTGAAACAACCCCAAAAAAGTTTAGTTTTAAATAATGGAAATGTCTTATTTTCTTACTTTAGTGATGTTTAGTAATATTATGTAGGTCAAAAACATGTTCTACAGTGCGGTGTTGGAGTAGTACTGTATTTAATGTGAGGCACAGACTTGGCATCTCATGATTGAGTGTTGGGTACACAAGCCAAGGAGGAAAGTCTCAAGGCAGCTTTTGAGACCAGTGTCAAGATAAGGTGAATAAATGTTCTGCGTTCAGGTATCAGATGACCTCCTCTACAGAAAACCTTGACCAAAGGTCACTGGTAATGTGTTCTCGTCGGACGTTTGGCGTTTGCTTTTGGAATCCTCTTCCACAGTTTCTGGCATTCTCTTAAATCTTTTAAAAGCTTGGGGAAAATTTAACTTGCAGTTACTAACTCACAATGGGTCAACGTCCACCCTCCTTACCTCAGTCATGAATCCCTCTTTAATCACATTTTACCTTAACTTGACCACACACACACAGAAAGCCAAACCACAATTAAGTTATCTTGTTTGTTTAAACACTTAAAACCAGAAATCTACATTCAGTATTTTGTTCCTAAAATGGAAATGCGGCGTCCACCTGTGAAACAAAAACATGGGCCTGAACATTACTGTTAGTGGTGTGTGACACTAATCTGTGTGACCGTTGTGGTTTCTCACAGGCCTTCAGGAAGTTCCTCCCTCTGTTCGACCGGGTGCTGGTGGAGCGCCTGACAGCTGACACCGTAACCAAGGGAGGCATCATGCTGCCAGAGAAGTCACAAGGCAAAGTTCTGCAGGCCACAGTGGTGGCCGTTGGACCGGGCTCCGTCAACCAGGTGGGTTCCTGCTGCATCATATGATGCTCTGTTCACCAATGTTAGAGACCAGGCCAGCTATGTGCTCTGGTGGAGTCCAAAGGGACCAAAAATAAATGATCACATCCAAGTCCTTTTCTGTAGAATCAGTGAAAATCTGCAGGTACTGACTCTGGGCTGACTGCAGGTCATGGCCTTGTTCACTGATTTTCTTTTTTTACAAAGTAAACTTTTCCTGCAACACGCTCCTCTCTCCTACATTTGGGCTGAGATATTTTTTAAATCATATTTTAGAAGTAAGGATGAAAAACTGTTTTATTGTATTCATGTGTGTTTGTAAATGAAGATTTAGGTAAAAGATGATGTAGCTGTGGTCAAGTATGCTCACCTTTTGTATCATTAATAATAATAATAATACCCTAACCATTTATCCTTTTGTGTATTATTGACCAATCTTATCATTTCAGATAAAGTAAGGATGTTTGTCATGTATTATTTTAATAGGCAGCTATCTGCTATATCTAAGGTTTATTATTATGCCTTTTTTAGAAGGGCCACCTGCAGTCGATGAGTGTGAAGGTTGGAGAGAAGGTGCTCCTACCAGAGTACGGAGGAACTAAAGTTGTTCTGGATGATAAGGTAATGCTCTGTCTCCGTTTCAGTCTCAGTCTTTGTGCTGCTCCTGGTAACAGCTCGTCTATTTTTTGTTCCTGCAGGATTATTACCTGTTCCGTGATGGAGACATCCTTGGCAAATATACCGAATGAATCTTCAGTCTTGCTTTTGTTAATGTTTGAATTTAGTCATCATTGCAAGGAAGAAATCAACTTTTGTGTTTTACTAATTGTAAATAATTAAACGTTTTGTTACAATAAAGTCGAGCTTTCAAGTGGTCATAAAAGTTCATTCTGTAGGATTCTTTTTGCTTTTATCCAGATTTTATTTAAATATCCATTAGAGGGCTTTAATGAAGGACATTTCATTTAGTATTGTGAATTAAAACAAAATACAATAAAAGTTTTATTTAGAAATATGTGCCTTACCCCTGAGACATCCCAACTCTAGCACACATTAGCTATAAACACTGCTTCATCACTAAGTATTCTCCATGTCAGACCTATGAAAATGGCTTTGTTCATTTTTTCTACATTATGCCAATAATTTTGCTAGATATGTGTGTTTATTAGCTAAATATATTTTTATGCCTCTTGAATCAGCACACAAGTTAATGTAAGAATTGCATTATTTTAATCACTTGTTTTACGGTCTGTCTCCTGCAATAACCTGGAACAGTAGTTTATCATCTTTGTAACAGCTTTTAAGGTGCATTATGTAGAAATGAAGTAAAAATTACTGTGGTAAAATTGGGTTACTGCAACCACTATAAACAACTACGGGGCTTTTTGCCAGCCATCATCAAATTACAATTGTCAGCGCTGCAGTATAAGCTTGCAGGAGACACAGAAACCTCACGCTTAAGTCCATTCTGCCTTTCTTTTGAAAGAACGAAAACTGACAATCTCTGCAGCCAGATGGATATAAAATATGTTTCAGTATAACCTTCTTTCCAAAATGACTGAAGCTTTGCACTCTTGGGATTTTCTCACTGTAAAATCTCACCATATTCATACCTGCTGCACCTTTAAATCCCTTAATAGTCTTTGATCTTTAATTTTGGTTTGTCTCCATCATGCTAGTAAGTTTCGAAGTAATATCACTCCCGTTTACAGAGCTTTTCCTGGTGTCTTGAACGCCTCTGAAAACCAGTGAGTTATTTCCGGTTCTTCTGTACAACTACGCCGCTGACGAACATCCGGGTATTCTGTCGAGATGGTCATGGCGGAGGGCACTGCAGTTCTCAGGAGGAATAGGCCTGGAACCAAGGCCAAGGTTCGTTTTAACATCACGGGAAGGCTTCGTGCTGTGCCAGAACTCACTAAGACAGGGCGAAGCCGTTTCAAAACTGTTCGGTTCGGCTTAGATCAGGACTTGAGCTGATATGTTATACAACCAGCCGTCGGTAGCTAGTGGCACCGTCTAGTTAATGGAGCAAAGCTAATGCATATGAGTCTTGGTGTGTCCTGATTGATAGAGATGTGCTCTGTGATAATTTTGGTTTGTTATTATTGCGGTAATGTGTTTGATGGTATTTTATATACTTTCATGGAACGCTTTCGCTCATCTTATGTACAGTCTATGATCTTATCACGCTTTTTAGCTTTGCAGGAAGTAGTCTTATCCTTGTTGACGGTTTAGCTAACCAGATTGCTCGCTCTGTGGCTATAAGTTGGGGAAACTTTTCCTCATTCTTGTCAACATTTGAGCTGACAGGTTAGTTTACGCATGACTAAGAATTCATTGTTTGCCACAGGTAAAACTAGGCTATTTTCTGGTGGTTTTTCAGCTAAACACTTGTTAGCTGATCTTTGTCAACTTTGTTCCCCAGAGCTGTAAACACGGATGTTTTCTCTGTGCAGGACTTCTATAACTGGCCGGATGAATCCTTTGAAGAAATGGACAGCACCCTGGCGGTTCAACAGGTGTGGTAACCCGTTTAAATCGAAATAATTTAACATCCAATTTCATTTTAGTTGCTGAAAATTCATTCAAACTTAATTTGTTTCCCCTTCATCAAGTCTTTAACACCAACGAGGTCTCCCAGATGCGCAATACGTGAACTAGGCAGGGCGTTACAGGGGAAAAACTGTTATTTACTCGAACAATCAATTTTCTTATCAGGAATGTCCCAACCACTTTTTTCTGGCCCCCAGGTCCTAGTCATTTCATTTCGAGAGTATCTGCCATGCCAAGTCCAGGTCAGATTCTTCAGCAATGCACCAAAATAGGATAAAAGGAGAACACACCCAAGTTATCATTTAAAAATATAGTTATGTATTTATGTTAGTTCCTTAATTGATCTGCCAAAAACATCACTTGTTCAGGTAGTACATTGATAAGAAATGAGCTAATACGTATATTTAACAATAGCCTTATCGCTTATATTTCAGTTTGTTCACTTCCTCAATACACAGCTGTATTGTGCAATTCATTTTCCTGAAACAGTGCAGCCAAATCAGAGCAGGCAGGCATATTCTGCACGACACCTGTGGAGCTGCATCTGTAAAATGTGGTGACTTGAAGGAAACTTGTACTGTTGTTCCAGGTGACTGGGAAACCCACGGTTTGCAACCACAGACAGTGGCTGGTCATCCATTGTGATTAACACCCAGCTGTGATCTTTTTGACCTGTAACATCAGTTAGCTCGGTGTTTTTGTCACAGTTGCTGTAGTGAACCTGGAGTTTTGAGCTGGGTGTTTGTTTTTAAGGTGGGAGACTAGAACTAAATGGAGATAGGTGATTTGCTGTGGCTATGCCTAAAGGCAAACGCCTTGAAAGAAAGAGGTTTATTTTTTAAAGCGGTAAGTCAGATTCCTATTGCCTTTTCTGTTTGGTTTAACAAAGCATAGCCTGCCTTATTTCTGTGTGCAACTGGACGGTTTTTCAGCCCTCTTCCTGAGGTGGTCTGCTTCAGGCTGACCTGGGCCAACACACCCACTGCTGACTGATAACCCGGCTCAAATTAGGGATGGGCCGATGCTAGCTTCAGAAATACTCGCCGATTCTGGCAAAAATGAGGGTATTTGAATCAGCGAGTACTTATTTCTAAACATGAACTGATACCACGTGAAAGGGATCTTCCCCTGCCCAATTCTACAACACACAGTCAAAGGTAGTGACACAATTTTGCTAGGCAGAGCGGGCCCTACAGCACGCGAGTCATTGTTTTTCTAGCACTTAGCATTAGCAGTGTGTCAGCAATATGGCGTTTCTTTTCTTTGGAAAACCCTACTAGCAGGACGGCTACATGCATAATATGCAGGGCAGAAGTTTCCAGGGGAGGTGTGAATGCTGCCAAATTCAACACGAGCAACCTTATTAAGCACTTTGGCTGTCGGCATGTAAAAGAGCATGGAGAGTTTATCGCCTTAAAGGAGGAGAGAAATGAACCACAGCAACAGCAAACCCTGTTAAACGCCTTTAAGAGCCACAAGAAATATACCCAAGGCAGCAAGAAGCCACTGCAATAACGGACAAAGTTTTAGAATTTATTGTCCTGGATGACCAGCCGCTGTCCGTTGTAGAAAACGTTGGCTTTCGCCGCCTCGTTGAACATTTGAAGCCACGTGGTTTTACGCGTCCATCAAGATTCTTTTTAACGGGAAATTCAAGGACATTGATGAAGAAGGGTCTTGTTTGGGCTCCATCCTCAGGTCTCCCAGTTAACTGGCACTATACGATCAGATATTACAAGTCTCAGCATGTAAAGTCTCTCAGGTGAATGTGAGAGTACAATTAGGAAATGACTGAAGCAAACTGCTCGGGTGAACCATTGACAGACGAGAACAAAGATGGAGATGGTTGGCTGTAATCAACAACGCCATGTTTGTAGGATGAAATGTCCTGAAATCTTCATAAAGAGAAGCAGCATTGTGAAATGGACAAAAGCAAATGTTTATGTTTAAATGATCCTAAAAAAGAAAAGTAAATGGTTTCCAGCAGGGGGAGGTTTTATGACGACCGTCATAAACTGTGAAGATGTTGGTGTAGTGGGTAGATGCAGCAGCAGAGCCCATAAAAGCACACGAGTCGTATGGTAACCTGTCTGGTATTTCTGTTGCAGTACATTCAGCAGAACATTCGGTCAGACTGCTCCAACATCGACAAAATCCTGGAGCCTCCAGAAGGTCAGGATGAGGGGGTGTGGAAGTACGAACACCTCAGGTAAAACTCATTTCATCACTTCTACAGTCAGCATGGCCTTACCATTAGGGCTGCAACAAACGATTATTTGGATAATCGATTAATCGGATGGGATCTCGACACGATTAATCGATTAATCGGATTACATAGGGACATTTTTTAAAACTGCTAGGGAAACGTTATTTTTCTCCTTCCTTCACTTTATTAAACACAACATTATTAGAAAACAGTTCAATAGCAGAAAAACAACATGCCATCACCTAAATTGTCTTATAAGGTGTATAGACAGAGACCCTAAGCTACACCTATCTGTGACCTAAAATGCTTGGTCCAAGTTAAACAGCTTAAGGGCAATTCTCATCTGTTTTGTTTGATCACATCTGTTGACATTTATTATAATTGGGGATGTCAAACAACTAATTTTTAAATGTAATCAAACATAGGCTGTGAATTAATCAAAATTAATCAGTATTTCCAAAAATGACTGAAAAAATACCAAATAAAACAAAAGTAAATGAATGCCGCCCTCCTTGTGATGATGCCCTGGGCAACTGCCATAAAGTCACATCAAGAAATGCTGCTGATCAGTCCAATGATCCCAAATAGACTCGCATTAGGCCACATGAAAGCAACTGAACCCAAAAATATATTAACCAGTATATAACTGCACTCTCACACAACACGCCTGCAGCAACAGTTAGGACTCCTCCCTCCCTTTTAAAAGCGTTTTCGCTTCTGAGGACATTGTGGTTGTAAAGCCACATGCTAGTAGTCTGGCCCCGGTGTGATCAACCAGTTTCTGCGGGAATGTGACGGCGGAACCGGTTCGCAGCGGCGCGAGGTCCCCCCCCCCCCCCCCCCCCCCCGCCTATCTAATAGCGTCGCGCTTACGATTTTATAGACTTTTTTACGAGCTTAGGGCATGTCTAGCCTGTGTAATAATCCGGAGCTTGGGTGAATCACTTTTGAAAAGTTTTTAACTTACCCGGACACCGAGCTCTCTCCTTCCTCGCTGATGATTCTGACATGCTTGCGTTTAAGACGCTGCATCATCACTGCAGCACTCCCATGCCATGAGTCTGACCTACAAACGTTGCATGTCTTCGCCTGATTTAACTGAAAATGCTCCCAAACTTCAGAAGTTTTTACTTTTTTGGGGTCTCGCTGCTTCTGCCATGTTCCTCTTACAAACACCTGCCGACTCTCCACCGGTCTGCGCGCAATGGCGGGCGGGAGGGGAGGGGGCTTTTGGAAGAGTTGCGCAACACAACGAATCGATGACGCAATTCGTTGCCAACGCTTTTAGTAATCGATTTTCATCGAATTTATCGATTCGTTGTTGCAGCCCTACTTACCATAAACCTTTTCTCTCGTTTAGGTCATTCTTGTCAGAAATTCATGGTGTTGTGCTTCTGAAGATCCCGCTGATTAGCTCTTGTTGCACCAGAACTGGTTTTAGCCCAGTGTGTTAACAGCCAGCTCTTTACATAATCAAACACCAACACCTGTTCACAACACTATCAATAACATCTCACCCGTCTGCATTCTTCTTTTGATTGTAAAAGTCAACAACTTGGCATGAAACAAAATGTTTAAACGACGCATGATTTGGTATCTAAATGGAAACCTCCGTGCTTGGCTAAAACCAAAGCTGAGTGCTGATGGAGACGATTCTGCTCCTCTGATTGGACTAATTGTTTTTGTCAAGTTCTTGTCCAGGTGTAGTGGACTGTCCCTGGATGTGCTCAGTCTTGCTTTCAGACTTTAGCTGCTTCTCAGTACCGAAGTATGTACTTGTGTACTTGGCAAGTACAGCGGAAAGTCCATTCTTTGAAGTACATGAGGAGAAGGGGCTGCATTTGTAACACCACCGTACTTCGTTACATGAGCTGACATAAAAGCAGAAGGCCTCGCTGGTTTTATTTTGATAGTTGGTTTGCTAACTAGCATTTTAAGGTATCGTGACAAATCTACAATAACATACAACTTTATATTCATTTCTTTATTTAGACTTAATTATTTATATTTTAGATACAAAGCATTAAAAGTTTTGAGCTTTGTCCTCTGGCCTTTTCTGTTCGGGGTGTATCGGTTTGTGACACAATGCATTATGGGATACCCTCCTGTCCCAAGTCCACAGAAGGATGCACTGATGCGTCAGCGATACAAAAGGTGGAGCAGGAACACATCTGTTGAAGTCTAAATAAATGTGTGTTGCAAGAATCATGACATGAGGAAATAAAAGCATGAAAAACCATCTCAGAGCCATATTTTCAACACCATCTGATTAGAAAATATACCAGTACACAAAGTTCTCAGATTTCCCTTGATGGCAGAATTTCATTGACCGATTATCACCTGATTAGAGGAACCATGCTCTACGGAGCAATGCTCAGACAACCTTTCAGAGTTTGATTTTAAGAAGTTACTGTTAAACTGTTATGGATTTTTGATCAGTACTCGAGTTGTTCAGACAGATCTCAGAGTCCTTAACACTGACGTAAAGCTTACTGTCATCTGCATATAAGTGGTAGATTTGAAATGTGTAAATTATCTGTCCAAGAGAGTGCATATAATAGGAGTAAATAGTGGGCCCAATACAGAGCCTTGGGTACCCCACATAGCAGATGTCTAAGATTATTTGGTTAATATGGGTACTGAAACATCAGTTTGAAAGATAATTCGAATCTGTTTTAATTGGAAACAATGAAGACTCGGTGTGTGTGTGCGTGTGCGTGTGCGCGTGTGCGTGCGTGCGTGCGTATAAGACTAGTCACCAGGCTAACATGTTCTTTGCTCTACAGGCAGTTCTGTTTGGAGCTTAATGGACTCGCTGTAAAACTGCAGGTGAGTTTAACATTTCCTATTTTCAGAAGAATTGAGGGCGTTTGTCAAAAATGTTTCATCTAAAGCAAAGCTCCACGGTCCATTTGGGTTGTTGATTTTATTTTTCACATGCTCATTCTTTGTGTGACATATGATGTCACACAAAGATGTCTCATTTTCTTTAGTGAATTCACACTGAACTTTTAACTTGGACTAAACAGTGTTGTAGAAACGCCTACCGGCCCAGCTAAACTTTTTGCTGCTTGCTGATTCTACGCTCCAGCTGGCCGGTGGGTTAGAGCTATCATATTTATCGTCTTGATGACGCTAAATGAACGATAACTACCCGTACAGCGGCGGTGGTGCTACATTTGTTTCAGAAGCCTGTTGCCACAAAAATCCTTCAACAGCATTTGGGTGACATTTATTATTTGGTCATTATCCTCGCTGCCCCGCCCACTGCTTCAATATTTGAATCGTGCTCCATTTCCTCATTGTTGCAGACTGGGAGGGTGGTCACATGACCTCCCAGTTGGAAGCCCAGCACCCTAAAGGAACATAAACATCGAACACCTACACTAGGGGTGGGGAACCCTGGTCCATCAAGGGCCGCTGTTCAGCACATTTTACTTTCAACACACCTGACTTCAATCAGCAGGTGATTAACAGGCTTTTGCAGAGCCTGATGAGCTGCTGAACAGGTGACTCAACCACTGAATCAGAAGTGTTGGAGCAAAGACGTGCAGGACACCGGCCCTCGAGGATCAGGGTTCCCCACGCCTGACCTACACACACCTATTCTCTTTTGGCCAAAATCCGATAGATCAAATTGACGTTGTTGTAACAGACATAAGCTTCAGGTTTATTGTCATTGAACCAGTGTCCCGGTCCAACAAGCAGGCAAGATTAGGTTAGGAAGAGGGAAAGGAGGAGCAGGGCACACAATGGGATGTACTTCTACCATTCCATCAGTGATGAATCAGAAAGGGATTAAAGTGTAGATCCTCTTTATTCTTAGAAGCATCTGTTTGCTCTTCACCTGCAGGGCGAGTGTCATCCTGACACCTGCACTCAGATGACGGCTACAGAGCAGTGGATCTTCTTATGTGCTGCCCACAAGACGCCCAAAGAGGTGAGTTCATTCCTAACCTTCTGGAACATTTTCTCTTACCGTGGCTTAAATGTGCCTCTCTCTGACGGCTGTGATGTGTGTTGCTGCGTGCACAGTGCCCTGCCATCGATTACACCAGGCACACGCTGGACGGAGCTGCCTGCCTTCTCAATAGCAACAAATACTTTCCCAGCAGGTTAGTTGGGATTTCATTCTGATTGAAGTACTTCTGATATGTTGCTCACAATAAGAATTTACACCAACCTAAATCATGTTTTGGTTTACTACAAACTGCCCGCGGCTGAACGATCAGTGAACTGGCAGAAACTTAATTTGGATTCCAGCTTCAGCATAATGATCCCAATATACAGTAATGTTTACAAACATGACAGGAAATGACATCATACATTCACAACAGTAAGCACTAAAATAAAACTGAAGGTAAGTTTTTGCTATCAGATGTATTTACTGACTAAAAACCTGCATGTAGAGTTTACCCAGCACCGGGGTGGGTCACCTGGTACCTTTAGCACAAAACACAAAATGCCCACTCCTTTCACATGCTTACTTCACCGTAACTCTGTTACAGTTTGGGCCATCAGAAAAATTAGGGCTGAACGATTCTAGAAAATATTGCAGTTGTGATTAAATTCATGGCTATTTTCTCAAAGGGCATTTCTCATTCATTTCAACTAAAGGAAGCCCATCCATCCATCCATTTTCGTCCGCTTATCCGGAGTCGGGTCGTGGGGGCAGTAGCCTAAGGCGAGAGGCCCAGACTTCCCTCTCCCCAGCCACTTGGGCCAGCTCCTCCGGGGGAATCCCTAGGCGTTCCCTAGCCAGGTGAGAGACATAGTCCCTCCACCATGTCCTGGGTCTACCTTCAGGTCTCCTCCTGGTTGGACGTGCCCGGAAAACCTCACCAGGGAGGTGTCCAGGAGGCATCCTGACCAGATGCCCGAGCCACCTCAACTGGCTCCTCTCGATGTGGAGGAGCAGCGGGTCTACCCCGAGCCCCTCCTGAATGACCAAGCTTCTCACCCTATCTCTAAGGGAGAGCCCAGCCACTCTTCGGAGAAAACTCATTTCGTCCGCTTGTATTTGCGTTCTTTCGGTCACTACCCAAAGCTCGTGACCATAGGTGAGGATAGGAACGTAGATCGACTGGTAAATCGAGAGCTTCGCCTTCTGACTCGGCTCTCTTTTCACCACGACAGACCGGTACAACACCCGCATCACTGCAGATGCAGCACCAATCCACCTATCGATCTCACGCTCCAGTTTTCCCTCACTTGTGAACAAGACCCCGAGATACTTAAACTCCTCCACTTGGGGCAGGACCTCATCCCTGACCCAGAGAGGGCATTCTACCCTTTTCCGAATCAAGACCATGGTCCCAGAAAGGAAGCAAAAAAAAAAAAAGTTTATGTATCTACATATTTATCTACATATCATTTCTACAAGTTTATTTGTCTACATAAACACTCACAAGTAAAGACAAAAGGTTGTTTAGAAGGTGCGATGCTTTGCAGCCAGGAGCACATCCCTTGAAGGAGCATAGGTATTAGCATCACCTGTGAAAATATATTAGCAGGTCAGAAATGTGTCCAGTTTATTAAAGTCTTCTGTGTTTAGAGTTTTTGTCCATGCAGAGCTTCCGTAGTTCAGTTACGTTCATAGCTGTTAGCCAAAACTCTGTGGAGTTAAAGTCTTACGATTGTCTAGCTTTACTAAAATACCTGTCTGTACTTAATTGATTGATGGCAGCTATTACTTTTTATTAGACTCCAAATGTAATAATTTGGCATGTTCCTAATTCGTAATTTGTAAGAATGTCATCTGCGATATTAGCATTAGCATCCCTATGGGTTTTTCCATGAATATTAGCATTGTGCTAACCACTCACTGCCAGTCAAATCGCAGCCTTTGCGATAAGAAAATCTCCTTTTGTCAGATCGCAGTTTAGTTGCATTTGCAATTAATCGTTCAGCCCTAAGAAAAATACAAATGGGTTTTTTTTTAAAGCAGAGTGGTTGTGCTTTCAGGCCTGCATAGTGTTATCACGTTAAATCCCTTTCTGCTGTTGCAGGAAGTGGGTGAATCCGCCTCACTGTCCCACACTAATGAATGAGGGACAGAGTCGGCGACCGATGTGCCGCAACATCGGTTAAATATCAGGCTCCTGCAACCCAAATCCGTCGCTGTGGCCACAACACTCTTAAAACCCAGGATGTGTAAAACATACCGGGTCATTTTGGAGCGCTGCAACAAACCTGTCTTGACAAACATCGCATTTTCTGAAAATCTGAATTTCTGTCTAAAACTGACTGTCACTTTGGTTTGTGGTCAGTCTCACATTCAGGCAGCGGGTATTGAAAGGGTTTTATCTGAAGTCCTGGCTAGCTGCAGGTTTTATACTGTACACTTCCTGTCTGGACTGTTTGCAGGGTGAGCATCAAGGAGTCATCAGTGGCCAAGCTGGGCTCCGTCTGTCGTCGCATCTATAGGATATTCTCTCATGCCTACTTCCACCATCGTCAGATATTTGACAAATATGAGGTGTGTTCAGACTGACCTACTGCCACTGATAAACCATGAGTTTAACCTCTAATCTGCTGAAACACAACTCCAGGAAGGCTCACATTAAGTGTTGTAGTACCTTTGTGATTATATCATTTCAAGCCAGACTAAACCTGATTCGGATAATCTGTGTCTGGATTAGAAGTCTTTGCTGTGGTTGGTTCTGAGGCACTCTGCTCGCTGACCCAACAAGAGAAACCAAAGAAGCAGCATGTCTACATTTTAATGTTGGTGTCTAAACAAACTGAGAAACTTTAAACCATTTTAAACTCACTAATAAAGACAAACTAGATGAGTTAAGTTGTTCCACCAGCTGATCGCACGGCCCGTTAGTCTAGTGTAAGCAACAGTTTGCTATGCGGCTCTGAACATCTGCTGATTGTGTCTTGGTGCAGAATGAGACATTCCTGTGTCACCGGTTCACACGTTTCGTGATGAAGTACAACCTGATGTCCAAGGACAACCTGATTGTGCCCATCCTGGAGGAGGAAGTGCAGAACACCTCATCAGCTGGGGAGAGCGAGGCCTAACACACAGCTGCTGCTGCCACACATGTAAACAGTGTCTACACAGTACAGAGGAGACCAGCTCATTCTGCACAAATATATACATACACACACACACACACACACACTACAGTGTACTAAGGCTTCTGTCTCGAGACACTGTCCACGTCCCCCGTCCGACGCTCCTGTCTGTCTTAAAGGAGCGGAGCTCAGCCAAGCCCACACTCTGATATTCTAACGGTCCGATTCCTGACCCGCCGTGTCCACAGGAACCAGCTGACTCATGCTTCTGTCCTACTGGAGACGTGTGGAAGCATGTTTAGCTCTCTAGCTTCGCTTAGGCCTCACTGAGGTTTTAGCATCAGATTTGAGATTCAGACACATTTTAACTGAACAACAACTTTGGGTCTGCCGGTGAGCAGAGAGGCTGGTGTGTGAACAGGGACGTTTTCCTGTTATGATCCAGTGGAATGGATGTGAGGACGGCTTTAGCACCACGGTTCCCGCCTGAGGTTTGATTCACCCTTTAATGAGGCCATCATTTTATTTATTGGTGCAGCTGAACTAGTTCTGCATTTCCCCCAGATCAGCCTGCTCTCCTGGGTTCCCAGGAACTCTCAGTACTTATGTGACGCCCATGAGCACTAGTCCTAGTCATCAGACGGCCTTCAGTTGTTGCTTTTAGAGCTACAGATAAAGGACGTTAGACATAACTCCTTAGATCTTCTCCCATGACTGCTACCATGAGCAGCCAGTCAGCTGACCGTCAGTGGTATTGGTGCATTGGTTGGGTGAGACACAGGGCAAAGGTGAGCCCCTACATCAGCGTCATGCTGCTTCCTGTGGACACGTTTGTTTTTTAAAGCAGCTGGATTTGTGTCTCTAATCAAGATGATGTGCGTTAATGAGCCCCCCTGTACATAACCTGATAATCTCATGATTTCCTGTTCGCTTCTCTCTCGTGTTGCTGACCCACCTGGTCTGAGGGGTGTCCTTCATCAATCTATTAACCTGCTGTCATGTCTTCACTTTTAGCTGTGTGTGTGAGTGAACTAGCAGTGGGATGTTCTTTAGTAGGGCCTCTCAGCAGACTCTGACCCGGCCTCCACTGTAATACTGTACACATGTGGCCGACGCGTCAGAGCCGCAGCAGCACCCAGATGAAGGAGAGTAATGTCCACCAACCGTGTCGGCACAGCCCACTTTCTGCCTTCTTTAACCCTCTTCCTCATTAAGTTATTATGTGGGAGGAGCCTCATCAGTCCAGCCCACTGTTTGTTTTTTAAATGGACTAAAAATTTTGTTACTGTTGACATTTTCATGATGTCTGTTAATAAAAAAGACCTATTATTGAATCGGCGGACTGTCTTTGTTTTGTAGACAAATGAAACTACATGTATATTTGTTTATTAATCAGAGTACAAATCAACAAACACACTTTTACTGTGATCAAATCTGTCCAGTGACATCATAAATACACGTATCTCCCAGGGGAAAACTAGGTATTGGTGCTAAAACGGCCTCGATCTTCATCCCTTCAGATAGACTGAGTGCTCCATGGAGATGCTTGGAATGTGCAGAACCACAGATCTCATTGTTGCAACCATAATGCATCATGTAGGCTGCATCTAATGAGCCGTCTGCTCTTTCTGCACCAGAACACAGCTGACTGCATTTGCTGGAACCGTTAAAGTTGGGCTGAAATGGAGAACTAAGCAGAACGTCTGTTAAGTTGTCATCCATGCTCATGGTTGATGGGCCGTGGTTCCACCTGGCAGTGTTCTGCAGCGGACCGTGTGGGACCCACGGTGGTGAACGTAATCGTAATGCTGAAAGTGGCACCAATGTGACCAATACCGAAAGGCAACTGGTGATTGGGTGGCAGAACATCCGTTCAGCTTCCTTTTGTGTGGAAGGCTGAAACACTGTCCCACGAGCACCTGCTCAAAGGTGGATCCAAACAAAGCTTCATCAGAAAAGTGCTGATGAAGCTTCTGAGGGAGGAGCTGAGAGTCTGGTGTTCTGCTCACATGCAGGTGACCTCTGCCTTCCCCTCCTCTTGCTCAAAGCCGCCTTCATCCAGGTGGGACAGGGAGCTGGGGTACCCGCCTCCGAACACCGGGAAACCATCGATGCTTCCCGCGGCAGGAGAGAGGTCATCTGTGGGGGTGGGGCTGCTGACCGCATGAGTCACAGAGCGACTCGAGGTGTGATCCAACGCCGACTGGAGACAACACAAACATGGCATATTATTCTACTGTGTTGGGACATTGAAAACGTGAGGTCACATGGCTCCTAATGGAACCCACTAGGGTGACGCAAAGCCACGTTTCACATGTTGACTCCAATGACCCAGAATGTCTACAATGAGAGCTGCAACATCACAGAAGAGAGGTCATTATTTCCTCCAGGACAGAAACACTGAATCATGAGTGGAGATGTTCTGCTGCAGGAGTGCGACTGGACTCACTTGGTTCCTCGGGTGTTTGGCCGCTGCACCTCGGACTGGCCTCTGCAGGAACACGACCTGCTTTGTGGCCAGATTCCCATCACTGCACAGAGACAAATAAACCCTCCTGTTGAAATGAGAGATGATGTCTCCGGCTGCATTGTGAGGGTGAGAGTCCTACCTGTCATGCCGGATGATGGGCGTAGGCAGCACGCAGGTGAGCAGCCAGCCGAACTCGGCCAGAGTGTGAAGAAGGGGCCCGTAATCTGTTTTTACGCTGGAGCCCTGCGCCAAGCGTAGCACGTGAAACACATTAGAATACGGACGTGTGTAAATATAACAGCTGATTATTTGAAAGACCGAGTTCTCAGAACCGCTCACCTCAATGACGGTCCACTGCTCCACAATTATGGCATCATTAGCTGGCGTCGAGGTGCTTCTCTCCTCATAAACAAACAGTCCCTCCAGCGACCGAAGCGCCGGCTCACCTGAAACACAAACAGCACCTGGTACATGACCCGGAAATAAAACCAGTCCGTCATCAGCGTTTACTCTGGACGCACCACAGCTAGTCCTCCCTGCTTTCATTTCTAACTCCTTTGGTGCAGTCTGGACCGGGCTGGTGTCTGAACTCTTCTGCCAGTCACTGTCGGCATGAGGAGCCTGATTTTATCAACTCTACTTGGCTTGGATCAGAGATATTTCATTTTAAAGCAACCAGCTGAACCTTGTTCCTCCATCAGGTGGCGCTGCAACATTAACATCTTCAGGACTGGCAGCAGCAGGATGGTTGCTGAGGAGACCAGACGTCGGGGGCTGATAATGACCCAGTTATTACGGAGAGGTTAAAAGCTGTGTGAGGAGGAGGAGAGATGGTTCCTGTCTACTATCCTCTGGGAAAGCTTTAGGCCTTCAGTTACCCAGAATTCACTCTGCTTTACATGTTTCATCTGTTTAAGACTGGCGCTCAGGACGTCTCATCAGCACTTTTTCTTCAAATTCCTACACAAAATCAGCCACTTCCTGTTTTGTCTTCTCTCTTTCCCACTGGATCTATATTTGGTGCGTCTTCCTGACCTCAACAACCTCACTTCCTGTTTCTCTGCAGAGCAGCTCACATTCACATCAGAGTCGCGTCGTATAACCGAGCCAGACCCTGCTGCAGTAAAGTAAACAACAGAAAAATTAACAGCAAATATGAATCCTTATGGAGCTGGGAAAACATCTGCACATCTGGGAGAGTCCGACTGCAGCCGCAAAACTACAGAGTGATGCAAAACAAAGTCCTTTTCTCATTCAGGAGGCACAACCTTGTTAAAATACCAAACGCTGGTTCTTTTAGAGGCGTCACACGGTCGTGTTCAAGGTTTCTCAAGCTCCGCCTCCCGTGCGTTCACTCACATCAACATTAACACAAACAAGTATAACGAGAACCCAACCGGTGCAACACTGAGAGGATTAGAACGGACCTGAATGTCAGAACACGGGTGTGTGCAACAGATGTGCGCCAACAGCTGGAAGTGTCAGGGACACCATCACACCAACCTTTAGGTGTGTCCCAGTACACGAAGGAGTCCACCAGAGACCAGCCTTTGCAGTAGTAAGTAGCAGTCAGCTCCAGCCAATCAGCCTCCAAGGCGCTAACCACATGGCCTTTTCTGGAAATTCGCATGGAGAGCGCCCCCTGATGGTACTGACAAGCCAGTGAGTCTAGAGGAGCACAGCCTGGAGCCCAGGAATGGAAGAAGACCAGTAGTCTCAGGTCTGGAGGAGACAGAGGAAGAGGTTTTAAACGATCTGACGTCTCACATTTGAGAGAAACGTCTGTCACTGTTTCTGTGTGAAAGTTCAAATATCCTGTCTAGTAGGGATGAGCGAGTACACCACTATCTGTATCTGTATCTGTATTCGGAGTGGGCGTGGCCTAACCCAGAAGTGGGCGTAGTTTAACCGGAAGTGGGTGTGGTTTACATCAATAGTTATTTTAAGTCTGAGCAGAAGTTGCTATGTGTATTGTTTATTTGAAAACTATTTACAGAGCAGCCTCAGAGTTGAGATTAAATGTTTTTGATCACAATAGTAAAGGAACTGTTACAGAACAAGTTTTTCAATAAAATCAGAACATTAATGTTTAAGTGCATGAATTAAGAGAGAGAGAGAGAGAGAAGAAAAGATCTTTTCTATAGCACCTCTCAAGATAAAAATCACGGGGCGCTTCACAAAAACAAAACATGTAAAATAGAAAAAAGAATTTAGAAAATGATTAAAATATATTTGAAATGAGCAAAAAATAGACAATTGTGATTAAAAAATGTAAAGAAAGAGAGAGAGTGAATAGGAAAGAGGGAGTGGATCCTGAGGAAGAGGAGAGAGAGAGGAAAAAAAAAACCGACCAGAGCGGAGGCAGTGACTGACGCAGCACGGGCCGTTTTCAGCTCTGTCTTGTCAAATGCACCACGTACGTTACGAAAAAAGTAACTTTAAATAACTTTAAAGTAAGTTTAAAAAGAAGCAAACCGAAGAAAACATAGGGCGTACTGAAGAAACGTGAACAGTGACCGGACGCGAACTGAGCTGTGAGCTCCCGGCTGCAGAGTTTTGTGTGTAGGGAGGGGCGGACGCTCCATGTGACTGGCCAATCACAGAGCGTGAAGACAGTCAGTTACCCAATGAAGATTTTCCTTTAGCACGATTACAGATATTTACGAGTTTTACTCGTTTCATGCTCGTACTCGTCAAAAATGCTTTATCCGTACCGGATACTCGTCTGAAACGAGTATCTGGCTCATCCCTACTGTCTAGTTCACGTTGGCTTGGTTCAGACAGGCCTTCTACCTGGTCCCGATCCCAGGAAAAACTAACGGTATTGTTAAATTATAATGACATTGTTTTAATGCAACCAACTGCAATAAGTGAGCTTTAAAAACTAAATAAGAATTATCAGCAAAATAACATTAACACCAGTAAATTACACAACACGAATGTCGGACCTACGGGTGAAACTGGAAAATTAGAATCTGGTGCAAAAGTTCATTTATGTCAGTAAATCAGCCTAAAAGGTGAAACTAATCTGGGATGGACTTATTCTGAATCCAGATGTTTCAGCCTTTATTTGTTTTAACTGTGATGCTTATATCCTACAGCTGATGAAAACCCCACATTCATAATCTCAGACTATCAGAATATTGTGAAAAGGTTCAATATTCTAGACTCAAAGTGTCACACTCTGATCAGCTGATGCATCCAGAACACCTGCAGAGAGCTCCTGAGCCTTTAGATGGTCTCTCAGTCTAAGATGAGTTACTGCAGCTGCTGAACAGGTGAATCAGGAGTGTTGGAGAAGGGAAACAAGTAAAACATGCTGGACCTCCAGGAGCAGGATTGGTTATCTCTGAACTAAAACATCCAGAGGTTAAATGGTGTTCCTCTGACATACTGAGAACATTAAACATGGAGCGGGTTCTTTAAGATTTGTGACACCAGCGTCTGATAAAGTCGTCGTCTTCCTCCGCTTATCCGGGTCCGGGTCACGGGGGCAGCATCCCAACTAGGGAGCTCCAGACCGTCCTCTCCCGGAGGAGCAGCGGTTCTACTCCGAGTCCCTCCCGAATGTCCGAGCTCCTCACCCTATCTCCAAGGCTGAGCCCGGCCACCCTATGGAGGAAACTCATTTCGGTCGCTTGTATCTGCGTCTGATAAAGATCCACCATAATGAAATTTACTTCCAGCTCTGGAAAACTCACTTCATTTGGAGAAAGGGCTTTTATGTCCTACAGGCCTGAGGAGTTAACAGCTAGTCTAAGGACACCAGTCAGAAGTAAAGTCCTGTTTCTCTGAACTGAGGCCGCTACAGAAGCTATCTTTGATGGTGGAGTGAGACGATGTTTACCTGATTCTTCAGGCATCATTCCTGTCTGCTCTGAGTTCACCTCTAGCACATCAGAAACCTACGTAGTGTCTCACCAGGACTGTAGGTGTTGTCCTCTGGCTCCCCGTCTCCAGTGGGGGTTTGGGGGGGTGTGTGTGACGGGGACCGCGGGCTCCGGTTTGGACTGTTCAACCTCCCGTTGGTGATGCCGCTCACCTGCTGCAGGACGGAGCCGATGAACCGAACGCCTCCACGAGCACTGCTGTTCACCTGCAGGGAAGATGCCTGAAGATAATTACATCTAAAGTGTTCAGGCTGGTTTACCGAGTAAACGTTGAACTTGTCTGACCCTGTCAATGAGCGCCCGCACGGTGTCACTGGTCAGCGAGTCTCCTGGTAAAGGCCACTCCTCCACCTTCAGCCTGGGCATGCTGGGGCACAAGGACCCCACCTGACAGCTGCAAATATAAAAACACACCAAGCCCAGGTCAGAGGGGGGCTGCCGCTCAGCTCAGATCTGTCATCAGAGTTAAGCCCCCTCCACCAAAGAGAGGCCCTAGTCTTCTATTCTGCAGAATTTCAGCTTCATGAACAGTTTTCCACCAAATCTCATCTCCTCAATGGAAAAGATGATCCTTAAGCATTTCATGTCAAGGCTCAGACATCACAGCAGAGTAGGAGTTACATCCACGCGCTACGCTGGTGCTGTAAGCCGTGGTAAGCTAGACGTACCAGCAGGCTGTGCTGGACCAGTTACAGATGGTTGGTGTTGACTCCTCGTGACCCAGCTGACCTGTTTACTGGTTCTGGTAGTTCTTGTGAGGTGTGGTGACAGTCAGCTACACTTCCACTGCGCTCAAACACAAAAGTCCCTTTTACTTCTTATTGTAGTCCTAATTTAACTTTTATTAGTAGGTCTGAGTGACAGCTATCCAGCCCATCTACAGTCAAAGGTCAGCTCAGACTAGACAGCCTTTTGCTGGGTGAAGTACTCTCCAGCAGAGTCTACAGGTCCTCTGTTATTAAATATGCAGTGACCTTGTGTGTGTGTGTGTGTGTGTGTGTGTGTGTGTGTGTGTGTGTGTGTGTGTCTGGTGTACCTAAGTTTGGGACGGGCCAAGATGGCGCGGTAGAGCAGGCTGAATGGAAGCGACCGGGTTCGGCCCACAGACAGGATGATGGGATGGAGGGCAGTCAAAACGAAGCCCTGAGTGTAGTAGGACTGTAGCGCCTGAGGGAGCTCGGAGAGCGAAGACACATACTGGACCGTGGGACGGCTACCTGCAACACACACACGCAAAGGTCTGAACACCTAAAACAACTTTTCTTTCCGATGATGATTCTGGACGTTTCTGATGTAAACTGAGCTGGAGTCTGACGGGTCCTGATGGAATTTGAGTCCTCTTCTTTCTCTTTGGACGTGTCCCTTCAGATGTCTTCCGCAGCCAATCATCTGTCTTCATTTAGTCCTGTCTTCTCCATTTTCTACCCTCACTAACTAACTTCATGTCCTCTTTCACCTCATCCATAAATCTCCTCTTAGGTCTTCCTCAGCTTCCTGCCTGGTGGCTCCACCCTCAGCATCCTTCTACTAAAACTACGAGAAGGTTCTGCAATAACTGATACCAGTGAGCAGGAAAATACATCTTCTTGTTGATCTTTTCTTTGGTTTTACTACAGGTAGGTGTAGGACATTCCCAAATTGTCCAGCATCAGTGGGACCTGGGGTTCCATTCGTACTAAAATAAATATCTAAAAAGGAGACAACTGAACAATAATCTGATCTGGATTCATCTACCGACACCCAGCTGGTTGTTGACAGGACAGGAATTTCACCTTCTTATCTCCCTTATTCTTCTGCTGCACAGGCTGCAGGCTCGCCAGGAAGACCTCTGGAAACTAAAGCATTTAGGAGGTCCTCAGAGTAAACGGCTGACACGTGTGTGTGTGTGTGTGTGTGTGTGTGTGTGTGTGTGTGTGTGTGTGTGTGTGTGATGTAGTGTGGGAGCATTCCTCACCCCAACCCCACATTTTCACTCACAAACACCCTCAGATGTGACATGACGGCGACCTCTGAATGGCTCATTTATCTTGTTTCTTATGTGGGACTGAAGAACTCCAGTGGAACCAGTAAAAACTAGAACTCCTGTGGGCTTTAATTCCACACACAACGAAGGCCTGAGGTGGACGTATATTTACTGTGTGTTGTGTGGAAATTGTGCAGGACCAGAAGCATCCGGAGAAGATGTCACTGAAACTTTACAGAAAAGACAGGATTTGTTCAGGATAGGACCCCCCCCCCCCCCACCTCTAAACAAGGCTTGTGTTGTAGCCTTTTGGGCTCCTCCTCCCTACATTCAGTCAGACACCCCCTCCGCCATACACACTGAGGCTTCTGTTTGGAGCTGCGTGGGAGAAAAACAAGGAGAAGGGGGAGCTGAGCAGCTACAGAAGCAGTTTTAGGGGAGCACAGGGAGGAGGGAGGACCTTTTAGGTCAAACAGAGGAAGCTGTATATTATGGAGGTAAATGTGTGTGGAGGTGTGAGAAAGAACAAGGTGCTTAGCAACAAGCAGCAAATAAAACCAGTTCTCTTTATACGCTCTCACTGGGGTGCCACTGAATCAGCCAATCAGAAACTAGTTTATATGTACTCTGATAAAATCACAGTTTTTAGACAAAATGCTTGTGAAATTGTGCTTATTATGAATAATGTAAAGGGTTTTTATTCAAAAACAGTCAGAGACCAAGACTAACTTATCAAAACCCAAGAATACAAATACATATGTCTCTTCTGTCTTCATTATCTCAGAGGAACGTAGCAGAGGACAATATTTTCATTTCTTCTTGTTCATAATGTTACTTCCTCTTTACGTGTGGCATTAGATGATGTTGCCCCTTTAAAAAGGAAGGTAATTAGGGACAGGAAGTTGGCTCCCTGGTTTAATTCTGATTTACAAACAAAACTCTAGAAAATTGGAGAGAACATGGCGCTCTATGCACCATGAGGAGGCCTACCTATCCTGGAAAAATAGTCTTGTGCCTTATAAAAATAAGCTTCGACAAACTAGAACTGCTTATTTCTCAGGAATTTTTCACAAGTAAAATAAATTCTATTAGAAACAAAATCTTTAGCATCCTCCCTAAAGCGATTTCTTCTTCCTCAGTAAGTGAGGCAGCATCAGAGGTAACTGTAGAACCTCATCTGTGCTTGAACCGTTTTGATCCAGTTGAGCTTTCAGAGTTATCAAAAATATTAGCTTCATCTAAACCTTCAACTTGCATTTTAGATCCAATCCCAACCAAATTATTTAAAGATGCATTTCCTTTGGTTACTGCCCCCATTCTAGATATAATCAATCTATCCTTAGTAAATGGATATGTACCACAGGATTTTAAGGTTGCTGTAATCAAACCTTCACTTAAGAAACCTTCTCTGGATCCAGATGACCCAAAGAATTATAGATTAATATCTAACCTTCTGTTTTTATCCAGAGTCCTGGAGAAAATTGTGGCCATCCAAGTATGTGAGCAATTAAACACTAACGATCTGTTTGAGGAATTTCAGTCTGGTTTTAGAGAGTATCACAGAACTGAAACTGCATTAGTGAGAGTTACAAATGATATTCTCATGGCCTCAGATAAGAATCTTGTGTCTGTTCTAGTCTTGTTAGATCTCAGTGCTGCCTTTGACACAGTTGATCACAATGTTCTTTTAGAAAGACTTGAACATGTTGTAGGGATCAAAGGAACAGCGCTAGGCTGGTTTAAATCTGTCTCTCGGATAAATACAATAAAGTTTATCCCCAGCGAGTCGTGGTGGATGGCTGCTTATACTGAGCCAGGATCCTCTGGAGGTTCCTTCCTGTTAAAAGGGAGTTTTCCTCTCCACAGTCACTAAATGCTTGCTTAGTATGAGGATTGCTGTAAAGACTCTGACACTAGTCAGTGACTTGATGCAACCTACTGGGTTCCTTATATAGGAAACTTACTGATTGGCTTCATGAACTGACCTGTACTGGAATGTTTATTATGTGAAGTGCCTTGAGACGACTCTTGTCGTGATTTGGCGCTTTATAAATAAACTTGAATTTAATTTAATTGAAAAGATGATTAACACAGGTGAAACTGGAAAATGAGAATCTGGTGCAAAAGTTCATTTATGTCACTAAATCAACTTAAAGGTGAAACTAATCTGAGACAGACTCATTCAAATCCAGATGTCTCAGCCTGTATTTGTTTTAACTGTGATGCTTATATCCTACAGCTGATGAAAACCCCACATTCATAATCTCAAACTATCAGAATATTGTGAAAAGGTTCAATATTCTAGACTCAAAGTGTCACACTGATCAGCTGATGAATCCAGAACACCTGCAGAGGGCTCCTGAGCCTTTAGATGGTCTCTCAGTCTCAGCTGAGTTACCAAATGAACTTTTGCACCAGATTCAGATTTTTCCAGTTTCATCTGTAAATGAAAAAAATAAAAATAATAATAATAATAATAGTTCACTAACGGAAACAGGTGATGTTTCATTTCACTGTCAGTGCCTCTGTCATGGTCTGCATCTGCGTCTCCCTCATGTGACTCCTTGTGTTCTCCATCCCTCTCTAGGTTCTCCTTATGTGTCTCCTAGCGTCCTCATGTGTCTTTGTCTGCATCTTCCTCATGTGTCCCCTGATCTGCAGCCCCTCTAGGTCCCCCCCCTCCCCAGGTATCCCCCCAGGTCCTGTGCTCCTGTGGTCTCCCTTATTCACACCTCTGTAGTTTTTCTTTCTGTAGTTTTTTCCTACAGGTTCAGCTTTTCAGTTATTAGTCTCTTTTTAGTGTGTTTCTTTCTCCACTAGTTTTTTAGTTCTCCTCAGATCATTTGTTGTTTATTTTTATCTTCTTGTCTTCAGGTTTTGTTTTTACTCTTAGGTCAAGTTACTCTCCCCTCACTGATTAGTTAATTGATTTCACTAGGTTTCTCTCCTCACACACCTGCAGCTCATCTCCCTCTCATCCTGCCCCAGTGTATTTAACCCTGTCTGTGTCTCAGTATGTTGTTGGTTCATTGTTTGTGTCAACGTCGTCTTGTCCCTCTCTCGATCTTTTAGTATCTCTAGGTCTCTTGTGTTTTTGGATTCTCTAGGTTTAGTTATTAGGATTTTTGGATTTTGTTTTTTGGCGCCCTGCATTCTCTGGATTTACTCCTTAATAAAGGATTTTTACGTTGTTTTTTTCCCCACCTCCTGCCTCGTTATCTGGTTCTGCATCCTGGGTCCTAATCTCTCTCCAAAACCACCTCATGACAGCCTCCATCACTGTTTGGCCTAAAACCACATGTTTTGTTTTTATTCATGGCGTTAAGTGTCATTGAACTTATCTGGACATTAAAGTTGAATCATGTATCAGTCTTGGTCCTGGGAGTCCCACTAGCCTGCATGCTTTAGCTGTTTCTCCATAAGTGAAGTTGCTGCACTTTTCAACGTTCAGGATCAGTGATCGTTTACAATATCAGTTCTTATCATTCTCACCCTAACAGATTCAGAATTGTTTTGGTAAGAAATCTCCCAAAAAGATGTTTCATTAACTGAAACATTACAGGAGAAAATGATTTTAAGGGGTTCCTATAACTGCTCAGTGAGGATGAACTGAAGCTCAGTTGTTACCCTCTTTTACAGTTTTGCATGTTTAGTTTTTTTCCTCCTAATCAGTCACTCGTGGATCAAACTCTGCATGTTGTACAGTTGCTTAGAGACTCCACACATGCAATTTTGACTTCTGGAAAAAAAAACTGGTATTTTTATTTGTTGGCTGTAGATCAGTTTTTATTTCAGAGCTGAGACTCAAACAGCTAAAAGCCTTAAAATTGGAGCTCAGACTAGAGGCTGACTGATGTGGGCTTTTTAAGGCCCACAGAGATTTTTAAAGAATTTTGTTGCTGATGGCCGATATCTAAAGCCGATGATTAAGGCCGATATATAACTACGTTTTAGCAGCGTATTGATTGTGAAAGACAACTGAACACTCACTGCGTGCAATATAACTTAAATAAGTCAATAAATATCTCAATATTTATTGAACTTCAAATATAAAACAAAGACAAAACGATGTGTTGGGTCCTTTCTTCAGTCTAGTAGTGGAGGCAGTTGGCCACACAGGTGCCTGATTTGTTTATTTATTTTTAATTGGCTTTTTAAAATAATTTCGGCTGATGACCGATATAGAAAAAAATCGAATATCTCAGCCCGATATATCGGTCGGCCTCTACCTGCGAATGTGGATCGCTCCAGATGAGATCCATCTCACCAACATTACTCTCATCCACACGTATGCTGCCTTTCATTGTCCTTCATCCAGGACCAGATTTAATATGTAAACCAAATAATTTAATCTAAAATAATCCAGCTCTGGATCCTCAGATTAGACAGCAGGTCAAAATCAGCTTAAATCATCTCTCCTCCGCTCTGTTCAGTTCTAACTGCTGTAACGAAATGAAATGACTGTTTTCCACCAAAAGTCATTTCCCTCCTCTCCTCTGACACAGGACTAGTCTGCATGAGATATGGTCTCAAGGTCTCATGCATTTGCTATTAAACTGCTTCTTTCCAGATCAAGAGAAGAATGAAGAACGGACTCTCTCCTTTTAATAAATCAAAGAACTCTATTTTAATAAAGCTAATCAAACAAAGTGTTAGTCAATTATAAGATATGACCAATCTGTGAAATCAATATATTAATTACTTTATTATAATCCTATAGAATATAATAAGTAATATGACTTTAAATGTTTCCACTAGGACTGATCACACGTAGCATTAAGATGTAACACATTGCTTTTACTGATCCAATCAGAATCTGCCAGATCTGACGGAGGCGTGGTTTTGGTGGTGCTTGGTAAATCTGTCATCTTTTCATTCGACCATAAACCAAAACATCCGAAGTATAAAACTATGCCCACGTCATCTTTAACGCCAGTTCAAAGCGTTCCAGAGAAGTTGTCGGAGTGGCCAATCCGTAACTTTCCTCTTCAGCCGAAAGAACCAACGATAAGCTGGATAAAATCTGTTGCTGTTCCAACTGCTGCAACGGTTCCTTTCAGAATAAAAGCTGAACTATCACGACTCTGTTTTGGGTCTCACTGGATGCCAACAAAAATGTTGTGACCCGGAAGTATCTCAGGACTGGTGGTCGGCTGCCACGGCTGTTTCTGCAGGCTTCGGCTCCACAAAGGTCCAAGCTGGACCTTTACACCTCCTGATCTAGACGGGGACTTCCGCTAAGGGTATGTAGACCGACAGAATGGCGTCGATTGTGTTTATGAATCTCCTAATCAAAGCTTAGCGCGAAGACATCACCTTCACTTCCCACCAGAACTAATCGCTTCTTCGGATTTGCTGGTTCTGATCAACATTCCATATTACACCATTCTCTGTCTCATTCACCTTAGTTACACCAAACATTTAGTGTTAAAGTTAGTCTAGTTTTAATTTGTTTAGTAATAAATCTTTAAACTTGACTCTCTCTTCTGTTGTCTCTGAGTGAATACGAAGCTGTTACCTAATCCCTGCAATAAAAAGTTCCAATCTTCTGGTTAAACAGTACCCACAGATCCATAAGGTTGATTTCATGTTTACTATGGGATCTTATGTTTTATGGCTTATTAAATAACATGTAAATGAACTCATTACACTGCCATGGTCTTCTACACCACAACCTGAATCTATACAAAACTCTGTTTTTACAGACCAACCCTGACAGGAAAACTCTCCTCGCTACAGGATTGTCTGAAAACACAAAACAGAGCCGTAGAGGTGGAGAGCAGCTAACAGGTAACAGGTGTCACCACAGCACACCCTTCCTCTGAGCTGTCCGTGGTGCTGAACAAAGAAAAGCATTGATTATGCCCACCTGACCACTGGAGTGTTTTCAACAGTTGATGCTTTTATTGATAAAAACGTGTGCCCAAGGCTTATAATGTTCTAACAGCTAAGAAGCTGCACCTGTGCCGTTTTCTCAGGGTCAGGGTTAAGAGCTTGTGTCATGCTGGCCTCTGTGGAGAGGAGAGCAGCAAAGACAAGCACAGCCTTAAACTATATTGACTGTAGTAGAAAAGCAAATGCATGTGGTTCTTACACCATTGATGCACCGCTGTCAGGTGAAAGAGCGGGCTCCCAGAGACACTCTTTGGTTGTTTTAGTTTTTAATAGACCACCTCTCAGGTGTTGTCTAGAGATAATGCCTGCAGAAAATGTTCTACTGGGCCAAACTCCTGACACACACACACAGTGGGAAACAGTCTGAGCCTTTAAGATCCTTTTCAGATTTATCTATCCCAAATCCTCTTTCACAGAGATCCACTTTGTCAGTTCGGGCTGTAAGCTGATTTATAAACGAACATAGAGAAAGAACAAAAATACACCGAGCAACGGTCAGCAGGGAGGTCAATAACCACGAAGAGACATGAGAGCAGTAAGCAGCCCGGCCACTGCAGACGCTGTGATGCTCCAGGCCCATGTCAGTCTCCAAATGAGGCCAAGCTGCCAGAGAGTGTGACTGCATGTGTCCCAGAAATACTTCGTTGTTTCGAGGAGAGTGAAGGTGTCCTACAAACCAACAACGGGATCAAATCTGTGTCCAATCAGATGCTCCTTTCCACAGTGCTCCAATCCTTACTGCCAACCAGCTTTGTGTATATAGCCACATCAGCTCCACTCACAACAGTTTTGTGGGTCTTTGACAAACTGAAACAAATGGATGCCAACCCCCACAGGACTACTGACTGGAAGCACTCCAGTTATCTTCAGACTGCCCGTTTCAGAGCTTCACACACATAATGAGATGTGTGGAGAATTTAGAAATGACCCAAATCCAAGGAAATACAGTCACAGTCTCACATTTCCTCCGAATGACACGATTTCCTTCCTCCTGTCATGAAATCCTTCGCGTTATGAGTTTGACTGAAGGATGGAGGAGAAGGAGCGGATGGTTGTAGAAACTCTGACAAACTCAAATTGAAACACTGATCTAGCACCTTTTTTCTGACTCAATCACTCACAAATACCATAAATAGAGAGCATAATTCAGTATGGTGGGAGGAAAACAGGAAACAGTGTCCAACTCTGACTGTTGAGGCCAACAACACGTCTGCATTTATGTCTGCCCATCGGTGTGCTCTTCAGAAAACGCTTTTATTAAATATTCCCAGATCAAGGACGTGAATAATAATGAGGATGAAGCTGTGATCAGCTGCAGAGCTCCTCTGACAGGGTCTATAAGGACAGAACGTCCAGCCTCGTCTTCTTCACTGTGAGATTCACCACTGGGCTGCCTCGCGGTTCAAAGCTTCACTATACCCTACAATAACTTAATCAGTTTCCTTCCAAATAGGTCAGCGTGAAAGCAGCCAGATGAAAGGATTATCCAGACAACAGTCATGCCCAGCGTCCCAGCAGGTGGCATCTGCAACCCAAGGAAGGTGTTGGATTTAAATGACATTAAAGTGTGTGTGTGTGTGTGTGAGAGAGAGAGAGAGAGAGAGAGAGAGAGCGAGAGAGAGAGAGAGAGAGAGAGAGAGAGAGAGAGAGAGAGAGAGAGAGAGAGAGAGAGAGAGAGAGAGAGAGGAGAGAGAGAGAGAGCCACGTGGCAGGGCAGGTCAGTGATCTATTTCTGGAAAGGCTGAATGGTCGTCCTGCTGTAACACCACTGACAGGTCTTTACATACAGGGTATTGTTGCGCTACGCAGATTTCTTATTAAGTAAAGGTTCTGTGGGACCGATAAAGTGGTATAAACATGCTTATGACCTGGGGCAGCTGTGAGAACTAATGAAGATAAATGTTTAAGTCAGAAAGGAGCAAGTAGAGCTTTAAACATGAGAAAAGGACAGGGATGTGTACTGATTTAAAAGGTTTCACTGAGGCTAAATGTAGACGAGAAATAAATGAAAAGATGCAAAGAGAAGCTGCAACTATAAAATAACAAAAATGTGAAATTGCTGCTGTTTCATGTCCTGTTTAATTCTGCAGCATTAATGCTTCAACAGTAGTAGTGATGTCAAACATAAAGCATTTCAAACAGGAGAAATCAGAATTAGCCCAGGTTCAAAAACACAGAAGATGTCAATAAACTTCTTATTTTATTCAGCAAATACTCCGTTTTTAACTGAATAACAAAAACAAGACAAATGACAGCATTTCATTATTTACTTCTTATCTTCTCTTTTTGTTGCATCATCATCATCATCATCATCATCATCATCATCATCATTAATAATAATAATAATAATAATAATAATAATAATAATAATAATAATAATAATAATATTGTTGTTGTTTCATTTACTAACAAACAGTTATACAAACTCAGAATAAACTACAGCACGTGCCGATTTTAGATAAACACCAGATCTGCATCCTGACTTTACTGGACAGGTCAGGGAGTCACCTCAGAGTCTTTAGTTTAGCCATGAGAAATGTTTACCCGCATGTCTGGGGACAAACACAACAACATACGAACGAAGCAGGCCGCCTACCTTCCAGGCTGAAGTCCAGCAGCACGTACTCATACACGGCGTCCGTCCTGCTCTCCACCTGAGGTCTCTTCAGGGTGGAGTAGATCTTTCCGGGACTGCTGTCCTCCGGATCCTCTAGTTTCCGTAAGCCGCAACCCATATCCTCAGCTCAGCTAAGCGCAGCGGGAGAACCGGAGCGGTAGGGCTGAGATTTGAACTTCTAACGGGACCGCTCCATCCCGCTTCCGGCTGCGCCGTTAATCCCAAAGTCTCCGCGGGAACCGGCGACGGCTCAGCGAGGAGGACTCGTGGAAGTTTGAAAGTGTCCCCGGCCGGGGAAAAGCAGCGCGGGCTGATGAAAGAACACAGAAGCTCCTCCTAAAGAAGTTTTCCCTCACCATAGCAACAAGCTCACGCGAAACAAATCCTCTTCCGTTAAAAGTTTCAAAATTAAAGACAGCAGTCGTTAGCCAAAGTTAGCCGTAAAAGTATTTCTGGCGTTTTTTTTTATGTCAGCTGAACTAGCTAGGTAAGTGAGCTCATTTACCAAAAAGATCCGAAAAACAGTCAAGGAAAGCTTTAATTTGAGGGATTCTCTGTTTAAAGGTGCAATGTGTAAGACTGAATATAATATAGCGGTCTGCGCTGCCCTCTAGCGGGATGTGTGTGTAGCAGCAAAGAATAGTCGACAGGTAGCAGACATAGAACAATTTTAATAGCCGGATGGCTCCCCTTTTCATCCCCCCACACATACATTTAAAGAGCAAGTAACGTCTAAATTAACTTTTTTTTGCTGATGAACTGTATAAATGAGTGTCTAATAGTGTTTTAAATGTGTGTATTCATTATTTTAGCATTTTGGTGCATTTTCTTAAAAAATTAAAAATTCTGCCTAAATACCACAGTATAGCTCCACCTTCAGCTTAAAACATAGAATTTGACTCATTTTGAATAAATTTTAGCCAATGGCTAAAGAGTAAGATACTACGTAATCCAGTAGAGTACTACGTAGCAGCTCTGCGTCAACGTTATAAAAGCATCGGGAGTCTCGGCCACGCCTTGTGGCGAGTTGGGAGTTGGATTTGCATGAGAGTGTAGGAGGCTAGCCGTAGTTCAGCATTAGCATATAGCATTAGCATATCCTAGTCTTTAGCATAGCTTTTAGTATTATACATACTTATTTAGTGTTAGCTTGGCTGTTGGATATTGTAGTTTAGTTACTGTTTGGCTGTTAGTGTAATTAGGAAAGTAGTTCGGGTTTAGTGCTCCATATCGTGTTAGCATGGTGAGATGGTGTAGTGTAGTATGGTTGCGGAGCTCTGTCGGGTTGCACTCCTTTCCGCTGGACTTAGAAATTAGGCGCCAGTGGTTGCGTGTCTGGAAAAGATTCAGCTCCCGCCTGGTGCTGTAGTTTGCAACCAGCATTTTACCCGCGATTCTGCACGTCTCCGTTCCAAGAGGGAGGCTGTGCCCACCGTGGCTCTTCCGTGATTTAGATGCAGCCCACCGACTCTGCTCCCCCACCATGACGGGCTACAGTCTGAGGTGAGTAAGCTAAATAAAAGTTTTAACATCTTCTAAAGACAATTTCCTACCTAAATGCAAAGTTTGAGAGACGTGGTTCACTCCATTTAGCTAATATCAGTCTGCACTGCCTTCGGGCTATTTTGTCAAGTTCACAAAATGTGGAACGGGATGTAAGGTTAGAATCAGCGGCGAATCGGAACATATCTCGAAGCCCTGGCCGACAAAACGGTCCACATGACTGTCAGGCTCAGAGAAAATTCGGGTTGTTTTTGTGTCAGTCGGTAATTCAGCAACAGTGACTCTAAACTGACGCAGCACTAGTTGACAGACAGCATTACAGCGTGAAATCTAGCACAGCGTGACCCGGTTCCGTGAGGAATTCTGTTCAGGAGGTCGCATTTCAGGGTCTCCACATCATATGTGACTGACTTTTACTTTATAATAACATCACACACTAGGAATGTTATAAAGCGCCTATATGGGACAGTTTCTTTTGTATTTTATCTGACTTTATAAACATCAATGTGCTTCTATTTTTTTTCAGGCTAAATCTACCCAAGACACTGGCTGTCAGACTGATTTAGTAATCTGCAAGAATGCACTTGTCCAGGCTGACGTGGTGTTACCCGTAGCAAAGGTGAATTATTTTTAATAATCTTCTATGTAAACATTTTATTACCTTCTAGTTTTAATTTGTTTTACAGATTGTTACAAGTGATTTTATGCTCTTTTAAACATTTATAAATGTGCTGCTTCTTTGTTTTTATAGAGCTCACAGCCTCAGTGTCTTGTGACACAGGGACCATGACAGAAATTCATCTTCCAGAAGGTCCCAGAGCATCCACACCTCCTGAAAAGACCACGGTGTGAGGTGTCTGCTGTTGATTCCAGCTTCCACCTCAGTGACAGTGCAAGCTCAGTGAACTGTTCAAGGTAAAAAAAAATTAAAACATTTCTGAATTTTTAAGATATTAACAATTAAATAAGTATGTGATTACATCATGAAGGAGGCTACTGATTCTGGCCCTGTGACACTTGGTGGTCACCACCAGGTGGTGACGTGTGAGCTGATTCACCTGGTAAATAACTTTTAAATTAAATATTTTGTTTTTGCTATCAAAAGTAAATTAACTAATAACCTGCATTACTGCAGGACACTCAGCAAAATATGGACTCTACACCATGAGGCAGGCACACGTTAATAACTCTAAGAGCACATAAGGTAAGCAACACCACATATTATTTTTATTACTGTACACTGTCCTGGATTTGTTTTCTTTCTGCATGATTTGTTTTCTTTCTGCATCTCATCATTAGCCTGGCTGATCACCTGATAACTCCTGTCATCTGGTTATGACAGCATGAGGATGTCCTCACACACCTGTAACCTATCAGCTCATCTGGCAGAATAGAGAGAGAAGAGACAACACCACATCTCCTGTTCCTGGAAAGCCTTCAGCCATCCTTCGATGACTGAGAACCTCCATCAGCTCTGTCTCCTGTCTGCCTACAATTATTATAATAAATATTGTGTTTGACAAGTTTTTTGTGCTGCCAAATATCTCATTTTGATTCCAGTTTTGATATTTTAATGGATATTTATAAATTACATTAATTGAATTATCACATTGTCGCATGTTTAACTAGCTCTATTGTGATGAACTAAACTAGCACCTCACTGTTAAAAGCTCGTTTTAATTTCAAGCATGTTTAAGTATTTATGGACATGAACAAAAACAGGAAATATATAAATTGAGATTTATTTAATTAATATATAACAAATAAGGGGGAAAGAGTCATTGAAAGGCACATTCTTCTGGAAGTTCCTGATCCCGACGACATCAGCAGGAGACCAGCTGCAGACACCAGAGGATCACCTGCAACCAAGAGCAGCTAGTATCAGTAAATAAATAATGAAATCAGGGCAGTTTTAATGGGCTGAACACATTACAGAATAATTTTCTCATGGTATATTTTCATAACTTTATGCAGCAGACTAGCTTGAGCCCAGATCTCCTGGAGAGCTGCTATCCAGCACGTTTCAGTGGATTTTCCTGCTTTAACAGGTTAGATAAGCTGTTAAGCAGCTCAGCTGTTTGTTGCTGATTAAAACCAGGTGTGTTGATGCAGATAAATCTCTAAAACATGCTGAATACTAGCTTTTTAGGGCCATGGAGACAAACCCTGCAGCTAATCCAATGCTATGGCTAACGGCTACTTACGTTCAGAGATGGGTCTGTTGGGTCGGTTCCAGTAATTTCAGGCAACTCACAAGCTCAAAACAATAAGGCTCATGTCCGCTTGTCTCCTCCAAATAGACTTGGTCCCTTTCTTCTCGAGTGTCTGGGTAAGGAGGGGGAGAAACGTCCTCCACTTCTAATGACTGCTCAGAGTGAAGGGAGCTAGCTTCGTCTAGTTAGCCGTCTCTTCGTCACTGCCACGGCTCCGCCCTCTCGGTCCTCCAGGCAACGCCTACTAATGTTGCAGTTTTCAAAATTGATACGTGGGTGGGGTAAGACTCTGAGGCACACTTGACATGCACTTTAACTCACGGTGCCAACAGGCACCGGATAAGAACAATACAGTGTGAACACCGAACTGAAACAAACAACACTAACATAACCCCAAACAATATAACCCTCAGAACACCACAAGCGGAATAAACAAACCCAATTCACCCTCCCCCCAGAGTGCAATGCGGCCTTGCCGGCCTATCAGTGGCAGGGTCGTCACATAGCCCCCCCTCCCCAAAGGGTTAAGTGTCCCACAACCCTCAGTCTCCCATGTCAAAGTCCTGGAACCGGTCCGGCCGGAGCCAAACGCGCACCGGCCTCCCTGGTCCCACTGTTCCTCCCCCAAGTCCATCCACAGCCCCATCAGCAGCCGGTTGCCACCTGGTCTGTGGCCGGTACGGCGCCAAACGGTCCTTGTGGAGGACCACCCGCCTACCTCGTCCAGGCAGACGAACCTGGACGACCACCGCAGAGATCTAGTTCAAAATTTCTGTGGGTCCTTGCCAGTGCCTCATCAGTTTGGGGGACAGGCCCTTCTTCCGGGTCGGGCAGTAGACCCAAACCTTGTCCTCCAAAGCCAATGATGGTCCATGAGCTCTGGAGTCGTACGCCCTCTTCTGGCAAGCTCCAGCCACCATCAGGGTGGTCCGGGCCAGCTGGTGGACTTCTTCCATCCGCTCCTTTAGGCGTCACACATAATCCAGTTCGGGCCCCCCCATAATGTCTGGTTCCGGAGCCGGCCCAAACATTAGATCCACTGGCGTCCGGAGCTCCCTCCCGAACATCAGCGCCGCAGGAGTGCTCTGGCTGGACTCTTGCAGTGCGGTACGCCCACAACACCATAGACAAATGTAAATCCCAGTCTCTCTGATGTTTATTGGTGAGGATCGCCAGCTGAGTCGCCAGAGTGCGGTTAAACCGTTGCACCAGCCCGTCACTCTGGGGATGCAACGGAGTGGTTCTAGTCTTTGTCATCCCCAACCGCTGGCACACCTCACCGAACAGCTGGCTCTCAAAGTTTCTCCCCTGATCGCTGTGCAGCTCCTCAGGTACTCCAAAATGAGAGAATATCTCGTCCACCAACCGCTGAGCTGTAGATGCAGCACTTTGATGCGGCATCGTGTCCGCTTCTGGCCACTTGGTGAAGTAGTCCATGGCTACCAGAACGTAGCGATTTCCAGCCTCTGTAGTGGGAAAGGGCCTGAGGATGTCCACCCCGACCCGTTCCATCGGTGCTCCAACCAGGTACTGTTCTAGCGGCCCCCGGGAGCATTGAGTAGGCCCTTTTTGGCTGGTGCAGACGTTGCAACAGTGAACGTGGTGTTCCGCGTCCTGACGGCAGCCCGGCCAGTAGAACCTCCGCCGGAGCCGTC